GCTGCCGTTCTTTGAGCGCCCGGCTTTCCAGCTCTACACGGGGAATAAAAGTCACGACGCGGAAATGAAAAACCTATTGCTGGAAATTCTCCATCTGTCCAAGTAATTACATTCAGTACCTGGGGAGAACGGCTCTTTCAACCCTGGCATCTCTGAGTGTGCTTAATCTTTCACTTAAAGCGCCTAGAAAGACAGGTTTTGGGGTCGTTCTTGTAGTGGGATAGTGGGATTTGGGCAGTAGCATAGTGTTGCTGCGAGTACCTTGGTATCTGTATTCAAATCACAAAACAGGGCAATGAGGTGCACAGTTTAATACTCTAGGCTGCCTTTTTGATTTAGCAGAATTAAATTTAATAACTGCCTATGTGTCAGCCCTGAAATTGGCTACCTGTTTGACTCATCTGTGGAATACCAGTCCTGGCTTTGTGGTTGTTGACTAGAAAAAATATCCTAAACATGTTGGTAACAGAGGTTTGGGCTATTGGACAGAGTTTGGAATAAGAGGAATGGAAGATACCAGAACCAGAGGGAAATGGATGTCTCCTAATGTGATCGCTGTTTGAATTTATCTTGTCATGCTCTTGCGCCTTCAGTGCTTACATCTGTTAGAAAACAAACTACAATTGCTTAGAAACCGTAGAGCAATTGCTGGAAATGTCTCTGAGGTGAGATGCAAGCTAAAATTGAAAGCCCCCAAGAGATCTAAGAAACAAGGAGCTTGCACTCAAAATACACCTAGAGATGTCCGGAGTCTGACACCTCTCAGTTTCATTCGCACGCTTAACCAGACACTTCTGTGGGCCTGGACTTCAGCCGTACAGACAAGCTCTGGAGAGATAAAACTCTTTTCTGTTTCAGGTCTTTCCCACTGCATTTCGATGAAAACTCGTTCTTTGCAGGGAATAAAAAGGAAGCTGCTAAACTAAAGGTAACAGGCCAGCCCTTCCCTGTGGGTCACTTGCTACCTAAAGGATATTTTCAGGTGTGTGTCTGGGATAATACCAGATCTGAAAGGGACCCCAGTAGGCTCAAGGTGCTGGGTCAGGTATTTCCAGCTCGTTTTGCTTTCTGAATGGTTTGGATACTTGTGGGTAACTATGGACCGTAGGGTGAGCTTTAAGGAGAGTGGTGAGTTGCTGCTGAGCACCCCACTTCAGGGAGCATTTACCCAGTCAGTCCCACTGAATTTAGCCTGAATTCCAGGATTAACACATTACTGGATTTGGATTAATAGAAGGAAGAAGTTCTAATTAAGCGCGTAGCCGTGATCAACCTGAATGTCTTTTCCCCTAGGAGGAATTTAGGCTACACTTTAAGAATATTTCTAAGATAATGGACTGTGTTGGCTGCTTCAAGTGTCGCCTGTGGGGGAAGTTGCAGGTAAGCTTTGCCAGCAGCTGGGGACGTGGCTGGAAGCTCCTCGTCTGGTGCCACTCTGGCGCGCAGATGCGGTTCTGAGATACGGCTCAGCTCCGAGCCGCCGATCGGGGCTGCTCGAGTCGTTAGCCAGCGCAGTCAGCAGGAAGCACTGTGCTCGTTCCAGCTCGCCGGGCCTGCTGGCAGCTGCCTCTTGCCTCTGCAGCAGAAAAAGGGGGTTGAACTGCCACAGCCCCTCCCCGGGAGAGGGGAGGGGGCGCAGAGCCTCTGGCAAGCCGGGCAGAGGGTGCTGTAAAACTGGGGGCTCGGGGAGATCCGCACTGAATTTTACCCGTGATCACAATAACACTAAATAAAGCACCCTGGCTCTGTTCTGCTCCCTTCTCCGAGCTGTGTTAAGTGAAATCCAAGTCTTGCTCTGTGGAGATGTTGTCAACAGGAATCCTTGCAAAGATGGAAGGGAAGCAAAGTTAAACTTGTGAGTCAGGCCCTGGATGTCTCTCTAAATGCTCTTGTTTGTCATGTGCAGACGCAGGGCTTGGGTACAGCGCTGAAGATCCTTTTTTCTGAAAACCTGATAGAAAAGATACCTGAAAGCGGCCCTTCCTACGGATTCCAGCTGACAAGACAAGAAATCGTTGCCTTATTTAATGCTTTTGGAAGGTTAGTTTGAGACTTTTCCCTCTACTTCTCCCTAAGCTGCTGTGTTTCGTCCCATTTAAGCTTAAGCGGTCCTCATCAGCAACATTGGTGTTAACTCCTGGATCATACTGTCTCAGAAGGAAGCTCTCAAATATCAGATGGTGCTAATGTGGAGTTGGAACAATTTAAACCAACTTCTTTGTACTCCACATTTCTGTCAGGGTTCAAGGAAGCGTTTGTCTTACGAGACAAAGAATTTGGGGATTTTTAAGAAATGGGGCGACTGTTCTCTGAGCACGTTGTCTCCAGACAAGGGTTGCTGTTCTTGTTCTAGTCTCGCTTCAGAGTTTTCCTTCAAGCTTCTCGCTTCCACCGGTTCATCCCCAAATCTGTTTGCAATAGTTGCATTCAGCAGAAATCCATCAGGCCAGCAGGAATCCGTCAGCCCAGCCCTTGTGGAGAGCTGGGTGAGGAGTTCCTGGCAGAAAAGGAGGGTAATGAGGCTTTTTGGAGTGAGAGGCGATTGCGAGATGCTCTGGTTATGCATTACTGCTCCGCGGTGTTGACAGACCTGGAGTTTCTGGCAAACAGGTTTTTCAGAGGATTCTTCAGGCGCCGGTGCTGCCGATGCTAAAATTCCAGGGTCCTGCTGTGTCTGACTTCGACCGGTGGTACCTTCCGCGTGGGCCTGGCCAGCAACGGGGAGACCCTAATGTGCACCCCTCAAATCTGGGAAACCCCCGGGGATGGCGTGGAGCTCCCCCCCTGACCCCGCTGCTGCGTCCCCCCCGGCTCCGCGGGAGCTGGGCTTCCTCCTGCCGCCTCACCGCGGCCTTTGGCAACAACAGGAGGGAGACCTGCAGGCGCTCCAACGTCTGTTTTCAGAGGAAGTTGAGGGCTGGCAGGCCAAAAGTATTTTCTTTCTTCCCTTTCCCCCTCCGCTGCCCAGTAAAACTCTACCCTGGAAATCCTCCGCTGTGTGAAACGCCTGAGGCCAGGCAGCTCTTTCCCAGACCTCTCCGTCCCACTGACCTGGATTAGAGGAGCCTTTTAAAACAGAACTCCATCTTTTGCTGCTTGTTCACAAGCGATTTGGGTTATTCAAAACCTCCTTAAAACAGAAATTTGTCCTGGCCCCGGAAGGGCAGAGCTCTCCCCTGCGGATGAGGCGCTGAGGGGGCCGTATCCCCGGGCCGATCTGGCATCTTTGCTGATGCTCCGGGGGCAAAACGCATTCCGCAGGAAAAGGAGAAAAAAAAAAAAAAATCACAAAACCTTCAGAAGAAACAAGCTTATATTGCAAGCAGACTCTGCGACCTGCCTGCATAGCTGGTAATATTATGGTCTGTTTCTTGACCTCTAGTTAATGGGTTTGTCTGATTGCTGCTGAGCTCTCTGTAACATCCTGTTCCAGTGTGTTTCTCAGTGTTTGCTTTAAAAAAAGTCTGCAAAATTAGTGAAGGGCCTGGTTGTAACCAGAACCTAATTTAGCTGAAATTCTAAATTCTCTCTTCCCAAGAGCTCCTTGAAGCTTTACTTGGTAGCAGTCCCTTTGTCTTGAATTTTAAATAAGGCATGATGCATATGTTGCTCTACTGTTTCTCTTTTGCTTTCCTTGCACACAGGATTTCAACAAGCGTTAGAGAACTGGAAAACTTCAGGAACATCTTACAAAATCTGCAGTGAATTAAGGGGAGAAAGAGAGACTTAAAAGCTTTACTGCTTGGCTATTCTGGGGCTCTCTAAAAATGGACAAACATCATCCTTCCATCGTGCTCCCAACCACTTACACACTGAAGATCAGTTGCTGGATTTCCTGCTCCCAGGTGATTGTCTGTAACCTGCTGATGACAACTCTTTTGTGCAAGGGGAAAAAAAAAAACCAACAAATTCCTTTTATACCAAAAAAAAAAAAAGTGGGGACTATATGTAAAATTTATTTTATATATTGGAAGATCATTCTCATTTTCTTCTTTAAATATGGCTGTACTATTTTGATGGATTAGACCCATCTCTGCCTTCAGAAGCTGGAGGTAGGGCAAGAACTGTGCCTCTGAATAAAGTTGGGGAAAATTCCTTGTCTGCTCCATGTTTCCACCCAGCGCTGGGAGCTGGTGGCCTTCCTGCCCCTGCCAGCCTTGTCCAGGGGGTTTGTTCTCTTTGTGGCTCCGGTGCTGCCGGTAGCCGGGCAGGGCTACAAAGGGGAAGGACATCCCGGGCGCGGGGCCGCTGCTCTGGCGTGGCTAAGTTGAGTTTTGCTGCTCTGAGACCACCTGCTTTTGCAACAGGGGGTGGGGGGCAAAGGATGGGTTCCCACAGCCCCTGACCTGGCCTGCCCCAGCTTTTTGCCCCCCAAAACACACCCTGGGAGTGGGTGCTGCTGCAGGCCCCACAGATGAACCCCTGTGAGGAAATAAGGGAAGGGCTGAGTTCCTGAGCTGCTTGGGGCTGCAGGGATTGGGACAGGGGCTCCCTGATGTGATTTGAGCATATTGTACCTCACAAGCTGGGGACAAGGGGAACACCACATCCCCTGGGCACTGGCCAGCTCCAAAAAAACACCAGGGGGATAAAGCACCTTGTGAGGGCAGGAGGGGAGGGAAAGCTGCTCTGCTCTCCCCAGCCCCAGAAAACCCCAGCTGCAGAGAAGAGCTGTAAAAACCTCCCAAAAAGCAGCTCTGGGTGCTGGGCTCCCAACCAGATTTAAGTCCTGAGCAGGATTTGTGGTGATGCTGCCTGGGCTGGCTCACACCAAAAGCAAACCACAGCCAGGGCTCTGGTGACCTTGCATGGAAAGTTTTTTTGGTTTGGGTTTTTTTTTGTTGTTGTTTTGTTGGTTTTTTGTTGTTTTTTTTTTTTTTTTTATTTCAACATAGTAGTGCTTGGTTACAGTTTAGTGAAGAACAAATAGGTACATTCATTGGCCACAGCTTCCCGTTGCAGCCAGCTGCTGCCTGCCTGCAAAGCCAAAACACTGTTAAACCATACCAAAAAAAGAAAGTTTAATGAAAGGCAACTATGCATTAAAAAAGTCATTGTACTTCTCAGCTATAAATTACATCAGTAAAACATGGGACCGGCCCCAGCAGGAGCAGTCAGTTTGTTTGTTGGTTTGTTTTTTGTTTTGTTTTGTTTTTTTTTTTTGAAATTAACGGCCATCCATACAAATGAGTAAAACTAAAACACTTTGCCAGTCACTCACGAGTACATTAGCAACGAGACTCACTGCCCCAACCTGCCCTCCCAATGCCAGGAAGATCGTATTGGTGGTATGTGCTTCAGTGCAATATGAACAATGAGCCTGTAGCCCTTTAATTTTTAATTTTTTAATTATTTTTTTTTTTTTTTTTTTTGCACTACACTCCTTTCCCTCCAAAGAAAAACTTAAAGTGCTCCTAGTGCTTTGGAATTTAAGCAAGAATAGGGGCCGCTAGCGTCACTTACGGTCTTTGGTGACTTATGGGAGAAGAAAGCAGGGCGATGCAGCCAGCCCCAGTCCTTCGTTAGCTTTGCCATAAGTCAAGCAGTGATTGAGATGGAGCAACCTGTTTCTGCAGCCCGGCCCAGGGAAGGAGCCAGGTCCCTCACAGGAGCTCTCTGGTTCAAGTACTAGAGCAAGAGGGATGTGCTCAAAGTTATCAGCTCCGAGCCTTCTCCAGAAAGCAGCGGGGGTTGCTCCTTTTTGGGCCAGCAAGAGTGAAACGGGTTGGCAGGGAGAGGCCCGCAAGCCAGCACAGGAGACCACACAGAGGGACAGGGTGTTCTCAGTGTGACAAGTGACATCGAGCTGGGTACAAGCGAGGTGGGCGAGGGGGTGGCCAGGCCCTAGGAGTGAGCACAGGGTAAGCGAGGAGAAGCCGGCGCTGCCCCAGGGCTTGGGGTTTCTCTCCCACGTGGCTGTGTCCCTCCCAGAGCCCAGCCCCGTGGCAGCACCGTACCGCTCTGTGCGTGGGTCTGTGTCAGACTCGGGTTTGAGCAGCAGGAGCAGCTCGTAGGGGGTTAAAAGCAGTTCCAGTTCAGGTTGGCACTAGAGGTCAGAACAGCTGCGCTCCCTGGACTGGTGCCTCCATCCAAGCCTGTGGCCAAAGCTGTTCCACTCGCCCCCCAACAGGCTCAGGCACAAGCCAGGACTAACATCAAGCCTCCTCTCCAAGAGGCCACTGGAGCTATAGGCCAGCCCAAACTTGGCTATTTTGGTTAAAGAGAGACAGAGAAACCTCCTCCCAGACTGACCCAGCACCCTCAAAGCCTGTATACACCACAGTACTGCTGACACAGCCACAGTGGCAGCAGGAAGATTCCAGGCCCATGGTCTTGCCCTGTGGCAGAGGATGGGACAGTAAGGGTGCAGACCTGAGCTCTGCAGTGACTGCCACCTCCCTTTGCAAGAGCAGCCCTTGCCCCCACAAGCACCTCCTGCACCTCAGCAGGGACCCCACCGGTTCACATTCACTTCAGGTTAAAATTCTTGGTTATCTGCTAAACGCAATTTAATACTGAGGGGGAAGAGGGAAGCCCCAGCCTGGGTGAGGAGGAGGGGGGGAACAGGACCGCTCTTGCCCCCCACACCTTAAAGCAGCCCTGGTTGCACACGCGCTTTGGGCCACCCGCCTTCCTGCACACACGCTCGTGCTGAGCCAGCTCCAGGCTCTCCCTGAACACAGCAGCCTGTAAAGTCTTGCCCCCTCCCGTGAGAGAAGCTTCAGTCCCAGCCAGTCCCCTTCCTTTCCCATAGACTAGTGGGTTGGTTACAACTCAGCGATCTTAATACCAGTAGGAACACTCGATCCCACGCTCACAGGCCTCTGCTAGGCTACGCTTTGAGCTCAGCTTTGAGCCCTCAGTCGTAGGTAGGACAGTTCAGCCATGGAGTGAAACAAGGACCAGCAGTCAGAGCAAGACCACACTCAGCCCAGAGGTGTGAATATGGCACAGTACGCTTCAACATTCCCCGCGGGAGGCCCTGCCCGTAATGCGCTCGGTCAACGGAGCCTCACGCTCCCCAGTGAGTCAGGATGCAGAGTACTTCACGGAACACGTCTTTGCAGGAAGACAGTGCCTCTCCCAGCTATGGATGTGCAATTAAAAGAGTAACTAGAACAGTCTCAGACCAAGCGCAGTCTGAGCAAGATTCGTTCATCCAAGTGTGCAGATAAAAGTGCAAATATGCATTTGATGTTTCTTTTCTAGTGAGGAAGCTCTGGTGCATTTAGCTGCCAACATCTTGAAGACCAGACCAAGAAAAAGCTTCCCGAGAGTTCAGCTTCACTTTGCTACATGGTACCTTAAAGTCACAGTTCTCTTGCTCACTGCCTGCAGCTGTAGGCTCAGTCCCGCTTACAGCTGCAGCAGGTAGTGGAATGTTTGTGTCGATGAGTTAGATGCTTCGGGGAAGAAGGAAAGAGAAAACCAGGTTACAATCCTATACATGAATGCCACTTCTGGGAAGAAAGGGACCTCGCAGCCTCTTCAGTTCTGTGGTGCAGGGTGTGAGCTATGGTGATTATTCATCTCCGAGCCGCCTGCGGCAAAGAGCAAGGGGGCACTGTCTGTAGCGGTTCCGCTGAGATGGGGACCCACCTCGTAGCTGTCATTCCCAGCCAGGGACCCATAGCAGCCAGAGCACTGAGGGGTGGCCAAGCTGGGAGGAAAGACAGAAAAAACCAGACATGGACTCTTAGAGATGAATAATTTGGCTGCGATTAGTCTCCGCTGCTAGGAAAGACTCCTGCTCCCAGCGCTGATGGGGGTATCCAGGTCTGCACAAGCAGGCTACGACATAAAGGCACAGCACCGCCGAGGAACCCGGATTTGATGAAACGGGTACAAGAAGAGCACCAGGCCCTACAACACTGCTCAGAAACAACCAGAACTTCCAAACCCCTCACTACACCATCGGGCAGGTGGAGTTCAGACCCCTGAGCAGCCACAGGGCTGTCCAGTTTCGCCCCCGCTTCCAGTTTTGCTGGGGGTACCTGACCATTCTCCCCCCACACCAGGTGTTCCTGCAGAGCTTTGTCCCACTTGGCTCCCAGAGACCACGTCCCTGTCCCTCCCAGGACTCCACCAACCTCTCACTTTCCAGCAGAGAAGCTCCTCTGGAGGTCATTTAAGAGCCCTCTGCCCCCACAGCTGAGGAAGGATCCTAGCAAGCTTCCTGTCTGGAGCCACTGCATGTTTCTACCCGTGAGCACCCAGTGTGATATCCACCTCTCAGAGCTGGTTGCCTCTGTCTAATAAAAATAGCTCCTTGTGAGCTGCAGAAGGGAACAAAACCAAGCTCAGTCAGAAGGCTCCTTGCCCAAGCTGCCTCTTACACCAAAATGTTTTCCTAAAACCAGAAGCCAAGAGCTTTGTTGCTTCCACACAGGGCAGCAGAACAGCAGCTGTGCTTTCACTTGCCCCACAGCACAATGCTTACCCTCCTTCCCTGGCCCCAAGCCGCGACAAGTCATCATCGCTGTCGTAGCGCCTCGGATTGTCAAAGAAGTAGGCTCTGGAGCTGTAACTGTGACTATTGACCATCCCCGCTGGAGTCTGTTAAAGAAAAAGGAGTTAGGTCAGCAGTGAGATATTTCTGACAGTCTTCCTAAAAGGCCTTCACCCCCAACCCCAGGCACCTTGGGGCTCTGCCCTGCACAGGGGTACTCAAGCTACCAGCAGCTTGCTCAGGCCTACCAAGTTCTGACTCAGTCTCTGAGCCCGGAAGAATAGCACCACAAAAGTCGTTGGCACCAGCTCCCAGAGGAAGAGGACGACTCCAAACACCACGTACTCTTCGCTGCTCACTTCCACGTGCACCTGAGGACAGAAGGGAGAGGTGTCCGTATAATCCTAGCCATCAGCAGAGCTGCACAGCTCCCAAAGCTGGACATAGCACACAGCTTCAAACTGGAAATGCAGAGCAACCCTTGCAAAGTCAGGAGTCCCTAAACCAGACTAGTGACCCTCACCTGACTGCTGTTACTGGTTTTAGTGAGATGGTTTTCTTCACTGGGCTACCAGGGTACTGGTAGCTCCCTCCCCACACCGATGACTCTCCCTTGCACACAGCCACGCCTCATTAAGCACTGCTTTTCTGCTCTAGTTGAGTTGTTCCTCCTCCCCTCCAAAAGAAGAGTGGGCAGGCTAAAAATGAAGAGCACAACAGGGAATCCTTCCTGAAGAAGTGGCCAGATAGAGGAAGATTCAGGTTTGGTCTGGTGGAGAGAACAAGCAGGGCTTCTGAAGGCAGAAAGCTAAACAGCCAGCCCTACATAGCCCCCTTTTCACCTATACATGCCCTCACAACACAGTGGAAAAACTGCCTTTTGCTTTACTAGCTCTGGATTGGGGGGGTGTCACAGACACTTACCTTGTCTGAAAGGTTGTCCCAGCCATAGTTAAAAGGACCAGGAACATTGTCTGGAGATATGGCCACAGCTACCAGGTTATAGCAAGCCCTTGAGGAATACAGAAGGGCAACTACAGATCCCACAAGAATAGCCTGGCAGACAGATGTTCCCTAGAACAGAAAGAAAAAACAGTTTCAATACAAACCGTCCTACAGAGCTGTGATTTCCCCCGACCCCCTCTTAAACGTATGAGAAGCCGTGCAGGCAAGAATGACCTAGAACATTTGTGTGGTGCTGCTAAAATATTCAGAGCTGGGTAAGAGTTTTCTTGTGTGAGGAGTTCATCTCAGTAGCAGAACTACACAGGCAGTGTCTCCTGGGAGCAGGGAAGACTCAAGGCACAGGAGCGTCATTCTCAGGATCTTCTCAGTCAGCTTCAAGCTGGTGGTCCAGAGAGATGCTATCCCACTCACTGCCTTCCTGTGGTCATCTCCAGAAGGCCAACCAACCACCATTAACAAAATCAACTTGCTGCTTCTTCACCCTGATCGGACTCTAGAGCAGAGATGTCCACCCAGCCCGTTCACTCCACAGCAGTCTGGCACCCCTGACATTGAACACAACGTTTGTCTAGGAAAGCAGCCCAAATATCTGGGGTGGGCAACTCTGAGAACAGGCAGAAAGACCCAGCACCTGAACCCCTGTGCTGCTGTGGGGCAAAGTAGGCTTTGCTGTACACAGAGCAGTGTGCTAAAGGGGGGGCTAGATGTTGTGGCACCTCTGCCTCCTGCTAGCTGTCCCATGCTGGTGAAGCACGATGCTTCCAATGCAGAGCTGTCAGAGGGATAGCTGCACGAGGTACCCGGAGCTCACGGTACCCACCTTTCCTGGACAGCTAGCCATAGGAGAGGAAGCCACTTTAAGATCTGCAAGTGTATCCATTTCTTTGCTAAATACACCCATGAAGTGTTTTAATAGCTACTGGTAGCCACCAAATCATAAGTGGGCAGACAAACTGATCTCAGCAGCTGACCTGCCTTTGTTTTTAAGCAGACAATCTGCTTGGGAAGCTCATCTCATTGACCTGCTCCACATCCAAGCTCTGGGTATGCTAGTTTGATTTTCCCAGCTTTACAGCACTTGCTCAAGACAGTGTCTTGGAAGACTCAGCAAAGTGCTGCTAACCGACAAGTCCCTGTGACACCACTGAAGCACAAGAGCGCAGCCTGCTCCAGCACTGTTAGCCAAGCCCCTACTGTGCAGGCCAGCAGAAGAGGTGGAAGGGCTAGTGAAGCAAGTCTCCAGCTGACCAGGACCACAGTACAGGATCTGGCCACAATCCAGTAGCCCAGCCTCCTTCTCAAGTGTTCAATGGCTTGAACTTTCCTGCCTTCAGCGGTGGAGGCAGCAGCCTCACCGGGCCCCCCTCAGCCTTCCTGTATTGCTTTGAGTCAGCAGGTTCACAGATGAAGTTCAGGAGGCAGGACAACCTTTTCTCACATTTGTGTAACACTGCTGATCAACCCCACCCTCTTTTTGCAGCTCCTCCACAACACAAAGTCAGAGGGTGCCTCCAAGGCAGGGAAGGGAGACAGCATTTGAATGCAAGAGACTTTTACCAGACAGTCAGGTTGAGTATTCAACCCAAGAGCAGGCTTCTCTAGAGCTCCTTATACAAGAGCGAGGCCTCACAGGCAGCCTCAGGCATGGAACTAGAGGAAGTTACTGCATTTGTGAACCACTGCTGGGTGAATTTGATAAGTTAATTAGTGTCCAGAGCCAGTCAGAGCCGGATACCTGGCCTATGCAGGCAGGTTCTCAGCTTAGTCATGGCTCCTGTCTCACTTCAGGTCACCTGGCTGCAATCCGCAGCCTCTGTGGACCGCTGTCACAGGAGCCAGCCAGGCAGCCACTCCCAGCTCCCCATGGCCACACACCCTGGATTCTGGGCAACTACAGATGCTCTCTGCTGCTTAAGAGGCCCAGACTTCTCCTAAAGAAACCTCAGCTTCCACCTTGACAGCACAGCTCTGGCCACCCTCTCAGCTTTTACTGAGCTGCCCTTTCTAAGGGAAGGGGCAATGGACCACAGGCACTTTGATCGGTCATGCAAATGGTTTGCTAATGAACAAGGACATGCCTCCAGCCAATGCAAGGCAGTTGTCCGGAGCCAGAATGTCTTTGTAGCAGTGTCTGTTGCAAGGCAACTTGTCACCCTCTTCATCCTCTTCCTGAGCGGGGACAGAGCCATCCAACAGCCTCCAGGAGCTCTACACTCTGGGCAGCCTCTCACCTGAGCCAGGAACAGCAGTGCTCTAAACACATATAGATTCACCTGATCAGTGGCACACTGGAAATAAGGTCTCTGCAGGAGGCCAGAGCCCCACCTTCCAGTCCCACGGAAAGAGGCAATTCAGAGCTTACAGAGTGAGGAGCTGCACTGCAGGGAAAAGGCAATAGCTCAAAGCACTAGAGCCAGGCAACTGGCTTCCCTGAGCCTGACTATGCTCAGGTGCTCAAGTTCCTCCTACAGATGTTTCCAGACTCATCAAGAGACTGCTGCCTGCCCTTCGCAGCAGGCCAGGTCCCCACTCTGGGATCACTGCCTTTGATAGAAGTGATATGGCTTCCCAGACGAAGAGGAGGCAGCTCAACTGCACACTTAATTGCAGCCTACTGCCACACTAAGATGAGACTGCTGGTGGCTTACCCACTTTCCTACCTGCTTGAGGAGAGTTGTGGCTGTGTGTTCAGATTCTCAGTTGTACTTCTGCCTTGGGGCAGGACCTACAGCAACTTCTCCTCCCCTTCTAAGACACTCATCTCATCCAGGACCATGAGCACTGCCTCTGGCTCAAGCAAGCAGGCAGCTAAAGCTGGACTGCTGGGGGGGAACATCTTTGCAGAGAATTGTTATGCATCTGCCAGAGATAACAATATACTGCAGACTTCACTGTCCTTAGTGACAATATACTGCAGAAATCTGCTACTCAGAGAGCCCTCTCTTCCAGTCAAACCCTAAATTATACTTCTAAAGCTGAAAAGCATAAGCAGCTCATAAGTCTCCTGTTGTGCCAACAAAGCTGCAGACAATGTATTCCCCTAAAACACGCAGAGCACTTTATTCCTACAACAGAAGTGTGCACTTTCTGGAGGGAGAAGTCCAAGAGCTGCCACCTCCACACTGGAAGAAGTATTTGAGGAAGAGCTCAGGTGCCACCAGGCCAGCATTGCTCCGAGTAAGCACACACAGATCCAGTTGAGAATCCAGCTGATGATTGTGCAGTTCCAGTGTAGTTCATAAGGCATTTACCTACCTTAGACTCGAGGTAGACATTCGCTGAAGACATCTTTCCCAGTTTGCACATGCAGCAAGCAAGCGAGATGGCACAGAGGATGAAGAGGCTGTCATTCACTAGGGCACGGGCAAGGACTGTCCACCTCAGCTGGTTCTCCGGGACCTCACCATGGATTAACATTGCACAAGTTAAATTCACAACTAAGAAGAGGAGGCTGGTAAATATGGAGCCCAGATACAACAGAACCCTGGAGGGATGGTGGAGGAAAAAACACAGAGTTTAAGTCAGACAATTCTAGGGTCATTCTCCACCACCCTCTTGTCTCATCAGGCAAGAGGACCTCCTAGCATGCCCAGTGCTCTGCTTGCTATGAAGATCAGACATTCCAACGAGCTTCAGTGGTTGTATTGACAGCTCAAGTCTGCAGAGTATTTGTTTGAGCTGCTCTCATAATGCATGAGCAGTGTAAGTAGTCATGAGTTACAAGACTCATCTTCTGACAGTCAGGTTCTTATCTTGCAGATTTTAAGTGTTGCTCTAGCTCTGCATTAACTTCAGTCAATAAGCTATGAGTCATCACAACCACTGCAACTTCTTTATTGAAAGCCACTGGAGCTTGCATTTTCCACTGTGGGTTTCCCTGGAAATGGCTAGGAAGCGCCTGGGCTGCACACAGGTCCCACCTATTGCTCAAGCCTTATCCTGCAGATCTTTTCTGGGGTGGGACAGCTCAGAATGACCTCAAGAGTCCATCTAGTTTGCTAGCAGCACCAGCACTGCCATGCTGACGACACATATGGAGGCATGCAGCATATGCTTCAGCTTCCTTGGTACTCTTGAAGCTCCCAATCCTGCTCCAAGGCACAACACTGACCCTTTGTCAGAGCACAGCTAGGTACAGCATCAGCTCTGTCCAAGACTTTAAGGTCTGAAGCTCCCATTCCTACCACCGCAGCGTGAATTCCCCTTAAGCCAGCTTTAACAATAACGTTAGAAAAGTATCACTTACTTGTACTTGTTGAATTCAGCTGCACATTTCACTTTGAATATGACCTAGAGGAAAGATTTGCACAGCATTACTTAACATGACCTATAGTTCTCCCTTAAACTTAGTAAAGATGTATACAACAGGGGAGCCAGCATCCAGTTAGATATCTTTAAAGACTCTAGATTATCCATTAGCACCAAGTCTTGTACTGGACCCACTTGCAAGAAAGACTAGTACTCCTCTTCTTGCAAGAGCCAAGCCCAAATGTAGGTGTCCAACAGGCATAAACATATTTAATACCCTACACATGACAAGGACTTTAACACCACATCTAAGACCTTCAAGAAAAGCAGGTAGTTTAGCACTCAGTAGTCACTAAGAACGTTCAAAAATACATCTACTTTGCCCAGTGTTCTGTGCTATATATTTTAGGACCTCAATCACACTTGATTTCCCTGTTAAAGAAGGCTGCTTCAGCTGCTGTGCTTTAGCAAGACAAATAGCTGATCTAAAATAGCCCTCTGGTATTGGATTATGGACCTGCAGGCTGTAACAAGCATTTGGAGCTCACAGCTCCTCCACCCTTAAGATGATTGTAAGCCAAATATACCTGAAAAGTAACTTTGAGATGGTAGGAAGTCCTAGCCTGCCAAGTTGCATGGCACACTTGACACACAAGCATATTAGATGCCAGTCAGTTATTTGCAGACTATTTCACTCTTCAAAGCAACACACACTCTGTCCAAGAGTGGCTCTGGGGTCTGTGAATCTCCTCACCACTCAAGAGATTAGGAGACTCAAGGTGAACGTTGTACAAGATGGGTCAGTGCTTCAGAGCAAAGGCTCACAGGCCTCTCCTCAGACTGCAGGGGACTGAATCCATGCCTGCACACCCTGCCATTTGGGTTGGGAAGGCTGGAGGAGAGCCATCAGCTTATACTCAGGCAGCCCTACAGCACTCTTTCCAATACGGCAGACAAGCTTCTGTGTCCCTCTGGGCTAGAGATGCAAGGGGATGGGTAACTGGTGCTCACAAATGGTCAGGACAAGCAGCAGGAAAGCAGCACAACTGGCAGAGCTACACAGAGCTCACTCATCACACACTGATTCAGCACAGGCATGGCAGGAACTGGGTTTTGTCCAGTGTAAAACACAGATCCTGGTACAGGCCCCACCAGGAAGGATCCCAGAGCTGAGGTCACACTCAGTTTCAGACAAAGCTTATGTTCTGACTAGAGACTTCAGAGAAACTTGGGAAGAGGTAGAGAACCACCCAGCCAGATCCAACAGACAAGTACTTGCGGGGTCAGCACAAGTCCATCCAGGGATCACTGCCCAGGTGTGGAGGTTTAGTTTCACTGCTTCTGCAAGGAGTCCTCCCTGTCAGCTTCCAGACTGTGGCTGCAGTGAAGGATCACTCATCTCCTACAAGGCACCTGTAGTCAGATTTTTTTCTGATGGGATTTCTTGGCTCTTGCCCTTCAGTCAGCACTGAGGTAGTAATGGCCCTCTGAAGCTTCAGAAATCAGGCTCCTGCCAACAGGATTTCCAGAGACATTTCAGGATTTGAGGGTTGTCTGATCCACTATCGTAGTTTCAAGCATTTGAAAACCCTCCTACAGGGCATCGGACAGTTTCAGCCACCCAGAGAGCCGGTTTCACTGTCTGGCTCCTCTCCCCCAGTCTGAGGGAAGATGAACTCAAGAAGCTCTTAGTGGGGAAGATGACACAGTACTTCAGCAGAGGGAGGTATCCAGCCGTCGGGGCTGAGGGCACAGTACCACAAGCAGTCTCTGAAGCCCTCTGCCCTGTTGTCCTGGTCTGTACTAGCCCAGAGAAGTACAGAAGCATGGCATAACTCACTCTGAGCCCCAAAGCTCATCTGAGTTACAGGAAACCTGGGCCTTGGAAGGACCACGTGGTGACTTCAAGCCAGAAAAATCCCTGAATCTTCCTCTGGCCTTAATTTTCCTGTAGGCTATATTCAAGCACTTAGGGAGTGTCAAAACAGACATCAAGGACATCCAGCTGGGAAACCTCTTGGTTCAGCACCCATTTGTGCAGCATGGAAATCAGTCTGAGGTATTTGTACTTCTTCTCTGACTCCCAGAACAGCAGTGTGTAACCACAGCCTTAGAACAGCAGTGTAAACAGTCCCTGGCTTGTATTGCAGCAGATCACCCTGGGTAAGAACAGCCCTGCAGCTGAGCAGGGAAATGCCACTGGCTAACAGAAAGAAGATGCTTGCTTCTGTGGCAAGAGAGCCTCCCAAGACCCTCCCCTACAGCCCTGGGGACTAAAGCACATGAAGCTGTCTCAGGGTTAAGAGTGCAGTGGCAACCTGAGACTCAGGGTTGGACAGCTGCCATGAAAAGCAAAGGGAGACCAGGGCACTAGCCTTATAGTTTTATTAGACCCCAGCTATGTAGTCCTATAACTTCAGGAAAAGAACAGGCATCACTGTTGACAGTGTTTTTAGTTCTTAAGACATAACTCATCTGAAGGTTGCTTTTTCTTCAGAGGGGCTGGGTCAGTAAGTGATACCAGTAGTGCTCACAACATATCTTTGGGTTCTTATCCTTGAGACAATCTTGCAAGCCTTTCAGCACCAGACTAGCTCTGCTGCTTTCAGAGCCCAAGGACAGATGATGTAGAGGGTTCTGCTGTGAAGAAGCTGAAGCAGAGAGCTCAGCAGTAGTCCTATTTTTCATAAATCCAGGAAATACAGACCCCTGCCCTCAAACAGGTGCATTCTGCCAAGTTGCTAGTAGCAACCCTTGCAAACTGAAGAGTTCCTTCTGAGACCAGCCCTAGAAGTCATGCAGTTGCCTGCTGAAAATAAGGAACAGAGGTCTCCGCTAGCCCAGAGCAGCAGGAGTGAGAACATTTACTCCTAAGCAAGCCTTTTGTAACACTTAAGCAACACTCTGTTGTCTTTCTGGAGCCACAAATCCTTTAAGCACTTCACATCAGCCACAGATTTGGGATGAAGGTGAGGCTGAAAAGGGCTACAGACCAAAAAGTCCCCTGTGATGCTGGAAGCTTTTGTTTTTGCAATGAGAGTGGACGCATTTGACAAAAGTGATTATCTTGCTCATACCACTGAGCCCCAAAAGTAAACTTGCTAAGGGTACATTCTCAGAGCATCATTTAAGAAACAGGCTCATCCTCAGAAGGGGTACTGGAGGTGTCACAGTTGCCAAGATGACAAGTGACAGACACCATATCCCACAGATGGTTCTAAGGACCAGTTCTAGTACCAGCAAAAGCCACAACATTTAGCCCTAACATTGAGCCTCAGACTGCAGCTTGGTTTTGGTACAGCCACTCACAACAGATCTGAAAGATCCAGGAGCACCAAAAACTTGTCATTGTCTGTCTGATGGAATCAAAGTCTCCTTTGCTCCATAAAGAAATCATGAGTTTGGGCTCTCAAGGTGCAAGACCTAACCATGTCCTGCCCTGACATGAACACAGCCCTCTCAGTTGCAAGAGCATCCACAGATTCCTTTTCTCACCACAGTCATTCAGCAATGAGCATTGGAGCAGAGCACAGACTATTTTGGGATTACACCCCGTAACAAGTGCTGCAGCCCCCACCCACGCCTCAGAGAAATAGTTGGAACTATCTGTGAGGAGGATCTCTCACCATTCCCACTAATACTGAGATCAACCTATGCCATCATGAACACAGGGTGCAACTTGCATGTAGCCTGATTTCTTAGAATAACTGGTTGCCGACATGGCCACCCATTTTTTGGGAACCATGGGGCCCATGGGAATCACCAGCAGCATGGGATGGAGCACTTTACCAGCTGTCCCTCTGAGGCAGAGGGCACATGCTAGGTGTCTGCTAGACAAGGAAGGTGGAAGAGTGCAAGAACAGACTGAGGCTTTTCCAGTTTTTCATCTGAGAAGGCAGGAAGACACAGGACAGCAAGGACAAACGGCGCCCAAGCTGGATGCTCTTTCCATGCATGTCTGCTCCAGTGCAATTAGAGCAGCAAGGAATGAAAGAGGCTGATGTCATCTAATCAGATGGAGCACTTAAAGAAACCCAGACAGGTTAAGGGTTATGGCCACACCAGTCTGGCAGAGCCTCCCCACTCCAGCAGAAGGACTTACTCATTGTTGCACACAGTTGCTGACTCCCAAGAGAGGAAAAGATGCCAAATGCTCAAGAAGGTCTTTGAAAGGGTCAAGATGGAGGTTGTTGTGGCTACATTTCCACGTACCGTGTTCCTGACCATGACCTGGGGAAAAGCAGGGACTGGCAGACTCTTGGGAAAGGTACCATTACTCAAGCAGATGTTTAGCTGGCAGCAGAGGAGCTATTCCAAGAGCAAGACAGAGAAGCACCTTGGGTTGGCTATCCGAGCCATGGGTCTGCCAGTTTGAGGCAAGATTGGGAATGATCCGAGGAATTCTGACCTGATGTACTGTGAATTGCAGATTTCCTGGAAAGGAACTGTTACAGGCTAAAGCAGAGAAAAGATGCTCCCAAGCAAGAGGCATTTCACCTTTTGATGTTCCAGATGGAAATAAGGTAGTGACAAAAAGAAACCATCACCAAATAAGCATCCCACATGCATTTTGTCAGGCTTCCACATCCCCTCAGAGATCTCGGTGGCCTCAAGGGGATAGGAAAAGATAAGCTTCTCCCCACAGAAAAGGGGAACACCAGGCAGTTTCATGAGGTTGAATTTCAGCCCCAGAACAGCCTGGAGTGCAAAATAATGCTAGCTCTCCATGAGTATTCGTTGTTCCCTGGAGCTCTTCCCCCACTCAGCACCAATTTCATCCTCAGCTTGTACACAGCCCGAGGAGCTCTGTAAATCAAGTAAGATTAGCTCAAATAACATCGCACAGGCCACGTCTTCTTCCACTGCTTAGACAGATGCCATTTCTCCAGCATCTCCACAAAGAAGGCACTGTGTACAAAGACAATTAGCCAGGCCTTCAGCACAGAAGCAGCCTATGCTTTTATCTGAGGACATCTCAAACCAGGACACCACCCCCAGAGGAGAAGCCCAGTGCCCTTCTACAGGTTGCTACCAACTGGTCCTTAAGAACTGGGAACAGACAGGCCCTCCACAGCAGGTTCTGCTTCAAGTCACACTCGAAAAATAGCGGTCATTTATGGATCTTGAGACACTTCAGCTCAACCACTGTGGCTCCACCACGGCTTCTCTCCTTCCTCCTGGTAGTGACAATTCTTGGCTAATTACACCCTAAGTCTCCTTAACACAACTCATCCCATACTTTAAGAGAAACACTGAACACAGCCAAGCCATGCATATCTCAGAGCTACCAGCACATGGCACCCTTTTGTCTAGAGAAAGGTGGACTAGTTCTATCAGCCAGTTACCCAAGCACGGGAAGCCAAATATCACTACTCAGCATCATTTCTTTTGTTAAAAATGGAAGCCAGAAAAGCACCAAAGGCTTTCAGTCCATCTAGCTGCACTTTCCCCAAACCTCTAGAGCTGTAGGCTTTGCTACCTACCACCACTGTGAGATCACCCACAAACACCACAAAGTGCTGGACACCCATTCTGCTTGCGACAGCCAAGTGTCAGACCCACTCTATAACTAAGCGTGCATACCCATTTTAACAAGTCATTTTATCCTTCCCCTCTCCAGTTTCTGAGCCTTTATTTCCTCAGACAGGATTTCCCTTGGCTCCAGGTCTTCGATGAGAAAGAAATGGAGTATATTCAGCCAGAATCCACTGAAAAACAGATATTGTAGGAGGAAGGGAAGCCCGAGAACCTATCTGAATTTACTTTGCTGTTCTTTAAATGAGCCTTTTAACAAGCCTGCAAAGAGGCAAATCTGCTGTTAAGTCCAGTGACAGAAAAACCCAAATCCAGCTACTTTGTAGTACCAGAACATGGGATCCCTTCCTGAGCTTGCCTTTTAGGGGACATACAAACACCTACTGGTTAGAGCAATTGGTAGGTCAGGCTCCCTTTAACAGACAAGATGGATTATGCACACTATGCACCATTTGTTATTTTGCTGCCACTCGATCGGCAGCATATCTAACACCAACAGCTTTTGCAACGGGCAGTTTCCAGGTGTTTGTGTCAGAGGGGGAAGAACCAAAACAGCTGAACAACCCAATTGCTCCAAGTCTCACATTATCATGTGAATGTTGATGTCCTCGGGAAAATGAAATCATAACTCCCATTGGTGACACATCGGAGCGATGGAGCGATTTCGCTGTGTGTTAGCTATTCCTTTGTGAGGCTGGTGAACAGCTGAGAGCTGCAGAGCAAAGAATCTGAACAACAACAACAAAGCTGGAAGGAAAGTACTGCCTATTTATGAAACAAGTCACCAAACTGGAAGGCAGGCAAGCAAAGGGCTGCTCACAAGAAACTGGAGCAGAAACAAAATATTCAGAGGAGGAAGGGGAGGGGAGAGCCACCGCTTTAAAAGGTAGAGTGAAAGGACTAGAGAACAGAGGATAAAAAAAAATAAATTGCAAAACAAGTGAAGGAAAGAAGGAATACAGCTCAGCAACAATAATAAGCAGCTCCGCGCTGTCCCAGTAGCGATCATTGTGAGAGGAAGGGGCCCACCTCTCCAGCCCCAGGCTGTTGTCTGGGAAGGCAGAGGGATTTTGTCTGACAACAAGCTGCAGAACAACAAGCCCAGTTCACAGCGGAGCAGAGAGATGGAGAGAAGGAGGGAGCGCAGCAACAATAGCAGAAGAGGCTCTAGCTGGTGACGTAATGGTTGGCACCACTCCAGGCCAGAGCAGCCCCTGCTGCTGCCACTTTCTCGTCCTCTTTAGAGAAGGGGAATCAATTAAAAAAAAAAATAAAAGATGCAAAACAGTCCCCCAGGAGACCCCCGTGCCACTGCCACCCCTCATAGGGTTGCAAAAAGGAAAGCCCCACCTGGGAGCAGGGCACATCTCTGCACCCCCCCAACCCCCCAGATTCAGGGCATGTGCCTGTCTCCCCCCCGCCCCCCAACCTCCACCCCCCAGGGTCTGCATTCAAGGCAGACCCCTGCACCCCCACCCCAACACGAAGATTCAGGGCACACTTTTTGCTCGCACCACCCCCCATCCCACCCCACCCCCAAGCCTGGATTCAGGGCATAATCTCCGTGCCTGCCCCCAGGGCTGGATTGAGGGCACAGCCCAGCGTCTCTCCGGAGGCTACACTGAGGGCAGACCCCTCAGCACCCTCTCCCACCCAGCCTAGGCAGGGCACACACCTCCACACCCCACTCCATCTCACCCCAAAGCCTTCAGGGCACAGCTCTGCGCACCTCTAAGTTTGAGGGGGTGGCTGAAAAGCAGCCTTTAACCTCAGCGCCCTGCGGGGTGTGTGTGTGTGGGGGGGGTTGGTGTCTCCCCTCCCCCAGTGAAAAAAAAAAAAAACAACTTACCTCAGCGAAATAGAGGTTGAGGAGGCAGAGGCTGGAGAAGAGCAGGCAGCCGGGCAGGCAGTAGAGGAGCCAGTGGGCGAAGGGCTGCTGGAGGCGGAGGGCCTGCAGGGAGTTTTGCAGGTAGAAGGAGAAGAGGGTGGTCCTGAGGGCTGCCCAGAGCAGGCAGAGGAAGAGGCAGAGCGTGTGGTAGCTCAGCCGCCGTTCCCGGTAGTAGAGGAGCAGCCAGAGCTGCAGGTAGGCGAAGAGGAAGAGGGCGGCGTAGAGCGCCGTGTGGAGCACGGTCAGCCCCAGCTCCACCGCGTAGGGGACGGCGGCCCCCTCAGCCGGGGCCGCCCCCTCAGCGAGGGCCGCCGCCGCGCTCATGGGGCAGCGGGAGGCAACGGCCCGCCAACGGTCGCCGCGCGCGCCCGCCCCGCCCCTCCCCTCCCCTCAGCCCCGGCTGGACACCCCCATGCAACAAAGGGGAGCAGCAGCCCCCTCCTCTTCTTCTTCTTCTTCTTCCTCTTCCTCCTCCTCCTCCTCTCCCTCTTCTTCTTCTTCCTCCTCCTCTTCTTTTTTTTTTTTTTTTTTTTTTTTTTTTTTTCTTCTTCTTCTCGCCCGCCCTCCTGGTTGCGCCGCCCGCCCGCCCGCCGCCAAACAACTCTCTGCCGGGGACAATCAGCTGAGCCCGATTATTTGAGGCGCTCGCTCCTGACAGCGCGCGCTCCCCATTGGCTCCCCGCCGGCCCGCCCCTGCCGCGCCCATCCGCCCCGCCGAGTGGTCGCCGCCGCCTGTCACTCAGGCGGCCGCCCCCGCCGGGTTCCCCCCCCTTGCTTCTTGGGTTGCCGACGCCGCCCGCCCGCCTCCCCGCTCTTCCCGCCCCGCCTACCGCCGGCGGGAGGGCGGGCGGGGAGGAAAGGGAGGCGGGTGGGGGGGGTGGGGGGCGCGCGTTGAAACGGGGGGGTGCCCGCTTCAACGGGGGGGCCGGCGGCTCCAGGGGAGCCCCGAGCAACGGGGGGACCCCGCAGCGGTAGGGACGGGGAGCCTCCGCCTTGTGGGGTCGGCTGTAGCGGCGCTCTGGCTGCGTGGGCGGATCTGGGGATCCTAGAAGGGTCCCTGAAGCTGTTTGGGGGTGGGGGGGGGGTGTGTGGATTTGAGCACCCCCCCCAGCAGCCCGCGTGGGTGTGCGGGGGGAAGCCCCGCGGGGGTTGGCGCAGGTTGGGTCTCTGGTGGTGTGGGGAATGGCTCGGCGCAGCTCAGAGACATGTTCTATAAGGGCGGGCGTCCCTGTGGCTGTAGGGAAAGCTCGGGGACCATAACAGCAAGGGGGGGCAGCTCGGAGACACCCCCCTCCACTGCCGAGAGATCTCGGGTGTCGGGGATCCCACCGCTGGAAGGGACACGCGCTGGCACACCTTTATTTTTGACATTCTCCAGCCGTACAGCCAGGCTGCCCACCCCAGGGGCCAAGGGGGGAGACCTCGAGATGTGATGCTCTCCTGTCAGCTGTGGTGGAGGGACGAGGACTTCGGCACAGGACACTCAGGTAGGTGACATCCCAAAGCCACCTTGGAGGTAGCCCAGCAGCGTCCATCCGGCTGCCAAGCTGCTTTTCCAGGGGCTTTTTTGGGGCTGGTCCCCAGGGACAGACTAAACGGGGGCAGCGGTGCTGGCAGCGGTGGGTGATGCTGCGGGCTGTCTGCTGTGCGTGGGCATCCGAGCGCTCCTTTCCCAGCTGTGGGCTGAGGGAAAAGCTGCAGCGTGTCCCTCTTAAAGCCTTGGCTAGCTGAGCGAGGGTCAGCGGGGCTACTGGGTGCTGGGAAGTGGGACCTGGAAGTGAAAATGAAAGTGAAACTCTCCGGGAAGTAACAGGAGACAGGATGGCTGCAAAAAGAAAAATAACAAAAAAAAAAAACCAGCAAGGCAAAGCACGCCGGGCACTGAAACAGGCTGGGGTGTGTTTTGGTGTTGATGTTTCCCACCTTTGCTGCTGAGCCTTGAGAAGGATCCCGGCGCTGCAAGGGGCTCTCACCGCAGCCGATCCCATAGGCACCCTCATCCCTTGACTTCAGGCCCCAATCTTGCATTTGCACTGAAAATCTGGCAGGGCTGGTGCAGGGTGGGGAGAGGCGACGGCGCGGAGTGGAGCTCCGTTATCGTCCGACGTGGTGTGCCAGATATGCCTCCGGTCTCGTGAGCTGCCCCGGCACGGATTTGCTCCGCGAGCTGATTACGCAGCAATCTGCAACGGCCTTAAAACGCTGCTGCCGGTTGAAAAGTGCACAAAAGGCCTGGCGGCGTTCCGGCTTGAAACAGCGTTTGTGGATAAACGTGGGGGAAATACCTCTGCAGCGAGGCTCTGGTTTCTGGCTGGAAGCTCTGCACGAGTCTGTTGTGGGTCCCGAGGCTTGTCGGGGTGTCCAGCGTGGATGGAAACATCTTCCCGCAGCTGTAGGGTCACAGCCACAGCAGCACACAATGCGGGGGCACGGCTATAGGGACCTCACGGTTGCAGGTTGCAACCTCTGCCTCCGCTGTCCACTTTTCCAAAGACGAGCAGGGAAGGGGAACTTGTAGTGAAAAAAATGCAAAATAATGCAATATCTGGTAAAGAAGTGAGGTTATTGCTAGGCAGTCATAGGATTCCATAAAACTAACACGTAACCTCACCCAGGGGAAAAAAAAGGACTTAAATATTGCTTAACATAAGCAATATTTCAACAGTTGTAACAGTTGTCAGCAGTGTATGTCCACAATTATCAGGCATGTGACTTGGGGCTGTGTGGTCTTCCGATGAATTAAAAACCTGCGGGACAAACCTCGCCCTCCCCCAGGCAGTGAAGTGGCTGCCGGGTGACATTTTCACACAGTGGGTCGTCACTGGAGAGTCAGTGTCATCCAGACATGCTTCAGTCAGATCCCAAGGATGCTTTCTTTGGCCCTGAAGAGCCAATTTATCATCTCCTCAGGAGAAAAGACATTTGCAGGCAATACAGCTGTTGGGGCAGTTTCCATCTTCGGACAAGCTGGCTGCAAGCAAGTTGGACGCATTTGGGAAGGGTTTGCTGGTCGGGCAATGTGTGGCTGGAGGGATGCATGTGAATCCACAGAGCAGAAGGCTGGAACAGATTGCTTTTCAGGGAGTTTTTCCGTATCCCCTAAAGGAAACCAGTCTGCATGGTCCAAAGTGCAAGATGAGCCATCAGCGTTAAGCTCTCCCTTGCATTTTTCAGCAGCAGCAGGTATATTTGTGCTGGGGCATCCAGCCATGCCAGGGAGAGCCTGTTTAGCCTGCTGTAACTAAGGGGTTGAGTCAGCCCCACATGGATTTAGGGTCTGTTATTACAGAAGCATGGAACGGTTTGGGTGGGAAGGGACCTTAAAGCCCCCCCATTCCCACCCCGCTGCCCCGGGCAGGGCCCCCTTCCCCCAGCCCAGGGGGCTCCCAGCCCCGTCCAACCTGGCCTTGAACCCTTCCAGGGAGGGGGCAGCCACAGGTGCTCTGGGCACCCTGGGCCAGCGCCTCACCCCCCGCACAGGGAAGAATTTCTTCCTTATATCTAATATAAATCTCCCCTCTTTCAGTTTAAAACCATCACCCCTCGTCCTATACCCATACCCTCTGATAAAGAGTCCCTCCCCACCTTTCCTGTAGCCCCCTTTAAGCACTGGAGGTTAAGTTATGTGTCCTCTCTGCCAGCATATTTGAGAGGGCAGCACACTGGTTAACTGCTGCCAGAAGGACATGAAAGGCAGGCGAGCACGCTGCCAAAAAACTGTACCAGCTGGGTGCAGGGTGAATGTCCTGCGGCAACAAAAGGCCAGATCTGTGTCGATCATCACAGGAGAGGTTGAAGTGACTCCATGTACGAACATCCTAAATGCTCCTGGCTTGGGACCATCTACCTAGGGAGTTAAAACTTGCCAACTGAAGGCTCTGCAGGCTGGAAGATAATGATATAGTGAGATAAAACCAATGGGAAGCAGCAGTGTAGCATATCTGGACCAGACATAAAGTGTAGTTTTTTTGCAAGAGGGTACCACTGTGAAGAAAATACCCTGAGGAATGTGTGAGATTTTTCATCACTGGTGTTTAAGTCCAAGTTGTTGGTGTTTCTCCTGAATTCAGGGCGGCCCGTGGATGATGGAGATGGTACCCAGATGGCTGTGCAGTCCATGATTCCAGTAGGACAGTGGTTCTTCCTTGTCTTGCAAGTCTTAAAAACAACCCCACATCACCCTCCGTTGAATGAAATGTGCTGTGGCTTCCTCAGTAATAAATATTGGCAGCTGAGGGCTCTGCAGGGCAAGGTGTCAGGGAAGGCAGCCGGGAACACAGAGGTGATGCAGGGATCCCAGCCCGTGGTTACTGCTGCAGGATTCCCGAGCAGAACTGATGCGGCACAAACAATTTATGCCAACACAAGAGTTTGTGCTGGGTGTCTCTGATGTATTTGGTTTCATTTTAGGTCATCTGTACCAACCTTACCCACCTTGCCTAGCTCTGTCTGGGAGATACGACAGTGAAAACATGAACCAGGTCTTGCATACCATCGATGCTGTGCTAGGCTGCCCCATGGTCTTGAGGCTTAAGGGCTTCCCAGCAGTGACACAGAGCTGGTTCACACATCCCTGGTATTTTCACACATCTCTCGTAATCCTGCACGTGGCTGTGGTGCAGGGTTCTGGCTCTTTCCAGCCCTACGGTGTTAATTTTCCATTGATGGAAGAAAGGTGACAGAGGAGATGACTTAAAAGCTAACTATTTGAATCTGGATTGATGGGGCACAGAGGGAAGCTGCTGGGCAGGATGGAGTAATGAGGAGGTGAGGGGATGTGAGTAGGGAAGGGATGAGCACACATTTTTGTGTCAAGGGCAAGAAACGCATGGGGAGGAGTGGGGTTGAGGGTGGTGGGACAGAGTGAGGGGGCATGGGGAGGAGTGAGGGCATGGGACAGAGTGAGGGGTTGTGGTGGAGCAGACAGGGCTGGATTTGGGAGAGGTGCAAGGAGAAGAGCAGCGGTCGCACGGGGATGTGGAGAGGGCAGAAGGTGGATGCTAGAAAAACTGCAAGAGCCAGAGGAGACATGAAGAGAGATCGGGGCTGAGTAGAGGCTGGAGTTGTGTTTTAAACTGCTGGCCCACTCCTCCAGGTATAATGCCGTGAAGTCTTTGAGTCACTGGAGGCTGCTCCTCTTGCCTCCTTGACAATAAGCTCTCCCATTTGACCTGGGCTGGTTCCCACATGCCAGGATTGAGTTTATTTTTCCATCCTGCTGTAGCCAAGTTTGTCATTTAATGAACATCGCCCCTCCGCCCTGATCTCTGTCCCCTCTGTAAGCCAGAGTGACAGATGGGAGGGCAAAGGACCAGAAATGCCTGGCACTGCCCAAAGCTGGAAAGGAGAGAACTGGAAATTTTCAGATGAAAAGAAAAAAATTCACGCCTTTCTCAGCTCTGTCTTCGTCCCTTTGTGTTGTTCAGGCCTGATCCAAACACCTCACCTACATGAGAGGGAGCCTATGAACATGCCTGGCTGTCACTGACTCCTCGCTCTTGGAGCAAGGCAGAAGGACTTTGCCTGCTTGTTTTTGAGCATTTGAGTTTGGGTTCATCACAGAGCAGCGATGCTAAGCTGACAGCATCTGACAGGGTGTTGGAGGGAATGACAGTCCGTGCACACAGGGGCATTTGTTAACGAAAACAGCTGCAGCTCATGATGCAAAGCAAACAGCTTCTCCATGGCTTCAGTTCCAGCTTTGTCTCTTTGTTGACCAGGCACCAGCCATGCTCCAGCACCCTCAGCAGAAAAAAACACTACCTGAAGAGCAGGCTGCGAAGGCGCCTGGTATGAAACAGGGGAGTGAAGTGGGAGGGAGCTGTTTTCTCATCCCGTAGTGATGGTCCACGTGAAGCTCTCCTGAGCCCTGTAACCCGAGCAAGAAGAGTTAGACATCTGTGGCAGGCTCAGCCTGGGGAGGACTGCTGGTGAACCCTGGCAGCGGACTTGAACACTCAGTCTTTGCTCGGTTCTCTGAAGCATCTCACAAATTTCCTTGGCTCCTCTCCTAACGAGCTCCGCCTGGAGACCCGGCGTGGAAGGGAGACTGCTGGCACTGCCCTGCAGCCGGGTTTTTGCTCCCGTGCCGCCGACGTCAGAATAACCCGAGGCTGGACTGAGCGAGGTGTGACAAGCCCGAGGAGTTTGCACGAACCCCTCACCCGTTTGGGGTAGCTGAACCCTCGAAAGGCAGAGAGATGGGGCAGGCACTGGGGGAGGGCTCTCAAACCTCCCCACGTCTTTTGGCATGGTCTGAAGCGAGCAATATGGCCTGGCCCTTTCTGAACGTCTCTTTTAGTGGCACATGTAATGCTAGTGTCATCCTCAAAGCTTTCGAGCAAGAATTGATACAGTCTGAGTGGGTTTTTTTTGTATGATACGGTCCCTGTTTTCTGCCTGTACATGTAATTTCTGTTTGACTCAAAAAAAAAAAAAAAAAAAGAGGGAAGAAAAACAGCCCTAAACTGAAAGCATTGAGGGTCTGCACACTTGCAGACACCACTCAGAGGAAAGAGAATGGCCTTTGCTTACATCTTTACAGTTGTTCTAGCAACTAATTCATGACGTCCTTGAGATGTTTGTGTCACATCTGGAAATTGCAGTCATGCCGCACCAACCTAAACAAAAGACACTCATTATGTTTGTGTGTGTATATATATATGTATATATAAAATACATATATGTTTTTGACGTTTTTTCCCAGTTGTGACTTTCCTGTGCCTGTAGCTGGTAACAACCATGTCAGCCCCAAAGGACAGATGGATTTCTTCCTTCTCTTTCCTGCTCTTCTGTGCTTCCTCCATCCCAACGTGGGGAAGTGTGAGACTGCTGCAGGAGCTGAGCCCTCGGGAGTACTTCAGTAGCTTGCAGGCCGGCAGAGCATCCCTGGCTTACTTCAGCCATAATGGTATGTATTTAACAGTATGCATTTATATCAGCCTGGGTTTTCAGCAAAGAATTGTGTGAGGGTGTGTGTGAAAGTGGAACAATGAAGAGGCAATTCTTGAAATTTTTAAACCCAAAGTGATTTTGAAGAGCCAGTCGAATCTGTGATTTTACAGCTCCATGTGCTCCTGACAGACAGAGACCTCTTGGGGTGGGATCTTTCCAGGCTGTGTCCTGAGGCACACTCCTTCAAACCTCTTCATTAATCTTCTGTATTATTTTCTGGAGGTACCATGTAAGAGCCCAGCCTCTTAAGGAGTTGTCCCCTCAAAGGGGCTGGATTTCTCTTCTGTGGAACCTCCCAGGGAAAGGGGGGATCCGTTGCATGCGGGGGACCTAAGGACTGTCAAGGATTAGAAGGAGATCCTTGGCCTTGCCTTTCTTGTTCTGCTCCCTCATGACCCCCAGGTATGGTTTCCCAGAGACATCGGTATGGGCTGAGACAACAGCACAGCTCCCACATCAGCACTGAGAGGCTGGGTGTGTTAAAAAGGAAGGAAGAGAGACTGCAGGCATTCATGTTGTCGCCTGCAATTAGTTTTGTTTCAGTAAATACCTTACCCCTCGAGTAAGAGCAAGACCATATTGTGTCAAACACTGTCTCAGTGCGTGGCAGGAGGATGCTCTTGATTCTGAGGACTGGCAGCCCAGCTCAGCAGCACCCGTCTGACAAAACCAGTCCCAGTCCCTCTGTGTCCCCCAGCCACGTCCCCACAGGCACCTCCACCAGCAGCATGCCACAGCTCCCTGTTTGCCCTGCTCACCTCTGCTCAGGTGTCCCAGGGATGTTTGCTTGGGGACCTTAGCACGCTGTCACCATGCCAGAGCACAGACAGTGCTTGCCCTGAAGGTACTTTCATCTGCCTCGTCCATCAGGGGAAGGGATTGAAACCAGTTTTTTGTTTTGTCTTTCAGTTTCTCCTGGTGCCCAGCCCTTCTTGGAGCAGATTGAGAACTCAGCCGAGGCCCTCCAGGACTATGGCATTTCGGTGGTGAAGGTAAGTGGGGACAAGGAACAGGACAAGCTATTTCTGCAGATTATTTCTGCAGGGCTGCCTGCAGGGTGGACAAAGCCACCTTGGGGACTGACAGCCTTGGGACCCCACAAGAAAGCAGATGTTGGCAGACCAGGGCATCCCATTTTATCCCTTACCCTGGCCTTACGTCTGCTGCTTGCGAGTTGCATCACACCTTCTGCCCATGGGACACGGCCAGGTTCATGTGTCCCAGAGAGGCTCGATGTTGTGCCTGCATCTCCAAACACAGGGAAGCAGAGGACTGGCATTGCAGTGGGTCAGGCAGGGACAGTCCTGAGCCGCTCCCAACCTCCCAGCTCAGTCTCAGTAGATGAACCTGTGCACTTTGATTTACATTCATGTGTTTAGGGGACATTTAGCCACTCATATTTCTCCCCGCAGATTGGACTTTTTCATGGGCAGCCCCACGTGCCAGGCTTAGCTGCCTGGTCTAATGTGGCCTCCCGTGGGGTGCGTGGAGTTGCCTGGTCACGAGGATGAGTGCCATCCCCAGCGTGCTGCACAGGAGGGCATCAGCCCCCTCGTCGCAGGTGGGACTGGCCCAACTCCCTCCATAGCTCCCTCCTGCCAGCTCAAACTGCAAAGAATGATGGATGGGGTCAGTCCGCTTCTTTTTGATTCAGTGCAATAAGTATTTCATATAAAGGGTTTTTTAGTTGAAACTTTATGCAGATTTAGGTGAAGGAATTACAAATTCAGGCAAGTGTAATTAGATTATAACAAGTGCTTCTATACGTGTGTGTGTGTGTATTTAATTTCCTCCAGATACATGCTGAGTTTAATAAGCAAGCAGCGATCTGTCACTTTGAATATGCTGGGCAGATCATAATATCTCTTGATCCCATCTGACCCAAATCAAGGCAGGCTGAGCTGGAGAACTGAAGTACAAACTCCCATCCTCATCTCTAGACTCCATTTTATTGTATTTTCTCTCCCAGCAGGTTCAGAATGGCTGCATTTACACTCTTAAATGGAAGAAGACCATAGTACTGTGTTTGTTGTCATTTATGGAGCTGAATGTCTAATGACACGCTTTCAATGTCTAGGTTAATTGTCCCGAAGAGGATGTCTCAAGATACTGTGAAAAAGAAAACGCATTAAGGAAAGCCTACCTATTCAGGTGAGGGTGGCTTTCTGGGCACCGCGCTGTGATTGCTTTCCAGTGCAAACGTTTTGAAGAAAACGCTGTCAGTGATCAGAAATGTCTGTGCAGGAAGAGAAGAGCCATGAGGGCAGCAGTGACATGCAGAATTTAGTGAAAAGTACCCCCAAAAGGTCCAACACAGGCAAAGTAGATGCTTTGTCCTCAGTGTGAAGCCTCCCATCCTGCCACATGTTCCTCAGAGCAACAGAGGGCTGTGCTGCCACATGAAACCATGAGAGAAGTCCTTCATCAGTGTTCTGCTGTCCTCATGGCCTCCCACCCCCAGGTACTGCACAGTTACCACTAGGTTTTGGGTCTAGTCCTAGAAAGAAACGCTTTTTGGTGCTCTTCCTTTTGGTGTGGTTAGCTCATCTGCCCTGGATGCAAAGGTTCAGCGCTTGATGTCTCCCCAGGTTGTCAGCTGGAAGCTTCTCCATGTATCAGCTCAGTTCCCACTGACTGTTGTACATGACCCACAGAAACATTTCCTCTGGTGATGAGGGTCCGTAGGGTGATGCTTAGCATATAGAGACCTTCTGCCAGTCTCTGCTGGGCTTCTCATCAGCAGTCCCCAGAAGCTGAGTGAAACTGTAGTGACAGAGGTGACTTCACTAAAACAGCATTGCCTGGACACTTCGTCCTACAGAATCCCCAAATTCAGTCCTGACATCTTTCCAGCCATACTTGCCAGCAGATATATGGAAGTATTCAGCAGAGTGAAAATTAAATTAGTACGTGTAGCTAGTCCTTTGTAGTTTCTTTAGTGACCCTCTTTCTTCCCTCCCTAGAGGTAACACCCTGATCAGAGAGTTCCCCACCGATGCCTTGTTTGACGTGAACTCCATTGTTGCTAACATTTTGTTGTAAGTACAGACCAGATGAGTTTCTGTGAAATCCTTTACTTTGATTTTCGTTTGTTGATATAACCTTTTGCATAAATACAAACTGCACGTTTTCCAGAGGCTGCTCTCAGCCAAGCAGAAGGCTGCTTCTCTCTTTGATACGGTTTGGCCCTGCTAAATTTATGTCCTTGAGATGTCTCACCAGCAGACATCTGAGCAGCTGTATTTGTCTGTGTGTCTTCAGTCTTCCCCCAAGAAGCTGGAATTTTACCTTGTTTTTCCCATCACAGTTATGTGGCTGCAAATTCGCTTTTCAAAGAAAACAGTTGCTAATGAGTTTTTTCTGACTCCTCAGTGCCCTGCTCTTTAATGAAGTTAAATATGTGGAAACAGTGGCAGATCTTCAGAACATTGAAAATGCGTTGAAAGGGAAGTTGAACATGGTCTTTGCCTACGTACCAGCTACTGGGACAGCAGGTATTAACACTCAACGTTTCATCTTTGCTCTCCTTCCAGAACCTTTTTTACTAAGGTGCAAGGGAGCTGGATTTCTGACCCAAAATCTTGCAAATTGAGGATCAAGGAAAACTGAAAGGGCCACTCAGACACAGGTTCTCCACCTCTGTATGTTTTGATGTGTTGCCAAAGGGATCGGTTGCACCAGAACAGTTTTGCTGGGAGCACAAACTTTCAGAGGTGGACTTGGGAGGGAAAGCAAGCCAGCCGTTGCTGTTCAGAGTTTCTGAAAGCCTGAGCATTGATATTTGCAAATGGGAAGGATGAAGAGGGAGATCTGGAGGGAGCTGAGATGAGTTCTTCTTGCTTTTCTCTTTCTAGAGCACAGAGCCGTGATGGAGGCAGCTTTTGTCTATGGGACTGTCCACCAGTTTGTTCTGACAACTGAGCCAACGCTGTTGAAAGACGCTGGGTATGTCCAAACACACACCCACCAGGCAGAGCTGCTCCCCTGCACTGTTTGCTCAACTCAGTTTCTCAGATTCCCAGGTCAAATCTGGGATGGTATTAGGATGTTATGCCAAGGGTAGGCAGTTAGATCTGTTTTGCTTTTCCAAAACGAGCTGCTTGTGTTCCTGGACTAGGACTAGCCGTGCCATTTGTGACTGTTCATTAGATGGGATTTTATAGGAGAAGAGCCCACTGTCTCCTTTCCATAGCTGACTGATCAAACCTCAGCCATGGGTTTTCAGGCGGGTTGATATAGCTGATGTTATAGTCTTAAAACACTCAGCCTTATGCTTTGATGATCAAGTCTAGCCAGCTGAGAAGGGTAAGAACTGATAACGTGGCTCGAAGCAAAGCCCACCCAGCTCCATATCTTACCTCTGCAGTGGCCACAGGTGCTTCCCAAGGGGTTTGGGGAAATGCATGTGTTGCCTGCAGCCTCCCATCTTCTGGCCGTCAGAGGTTTCAGGACTCGCAGAGATGGGAGCTGAACCCACATCATGGTGTTAACATCCACCAGAATTTTTAAAACACATTTTTACTTTTTATCTTGGCAACTTCTGGCAGCGGTGAGTTCCGCAGTTCAGCTGCACGAGACACTGCTCATATATTTGGGACTTCCCACCCGATGGCTTCACCAGAGCTGGCCAGCTCAGGCCATCCCCTTCTCAGAGGGGAAGAGCTGAATTGGAAGGTCAGATCCTTCCACGCAGCTTGCTGTTGATGTGACTTACTGTGGTCAGAAAAGCGAGGGAGGAGGGTGGGAATATCACACAGCATGTTGCATCTTCAACAAAGCATTTCTATAACGATGTGCCTGCTTTCACAGGTGACGCCAGGGCAGGCACCAAAGTGGTCCTTCCCCGAGGTGCTATCCCATCCTTGCAGGATCGGGCTCAGGGACAGCATTTTGTTGCCGCCACTAGATGGCACGGTTGTAATTTGGACAGGAATTGGCTTTATTCTCCTTAAAGCAGAAAGGACACCATCAGGCCACCTCCTTAGCTGATGAAATGGTGGTAGCTTCACCTACACGACCAGCTTTCAGCCAACTGGGACAGCAGGCTTTGAGGTCTTAATGCTACACTCTACTCTTCCACAGAGAGATCTTAAAACCCTTTACAAAGACAGTGATCCCAGGTTTAGAGGTGGGGAATGGGTGCAGAGGAAAAGGACCGTGACTTCCCAAAGTTAAGCCGCAGGCCAACACCAGTGATGGTGTCAGAGCAGGAACAACTAATGACGGAACCCTCCAGGGAACTCGATCTCACTGCTCCCTTTGGCACAGCCAAAACCAGTGCTGTTCAAAAGGTGGAATATTCCTTACACAGTCAATAAGATGTCATCAGTGAGGTGAAAGACATGAGCAAAGCTGCAGACTTCAGCTGTCCTCCTCCTGCCAGGGTCTCCATTGAAGCGGCATGGCTGGTTCCACTGAGAAGAGCTTAATGCATGTCCTTCTCAAGCTGGGGCAAGTGTTCTGGAGTTGGGGTCATTTACACCTGGTGAGCCAGGGTCTTCATTAGGTGCTCAGCACAGTTCTGAAAGGCACCTGGACACAATTGTACCTGTCGGTGGCAGGGCTCTTGAAGAGGTCCCACAAGCCTGCCAAACCCTGTGCTTGAGGATCATCTGCCCTGTAAAACATGTCAGCAAACGTGGTCATTCTGTCGGGGCATTTTAAAACCCTGTGGTGGATGTCTAGCTCAGCACGGGTTTTGTTTTCTCTTTCACAGCAATGATGAGCCTGAGGTGTCATCTGCCCGGCTGTTGTTCTGCCACTGCCAGCGGGCCACGGACCTGGCGCAGCCCTGCAGGAGGACAGCCATGGGCCAGGCTCTGACCATGCTCAACATCCACAGGCACCTCAAGCTCATGGGGGCTCCTCTGGTGGTATGACTGGAAAAGAGGAGCCACTTGGGCTGTGGGCAGGAGGGCAGCTGGGGTGGACGTGAGGATGAGGGAGGTGTGAGCAGAGGGCAAGGCTGAGCGTGAGACTCTGCCCCTTCCCCATGAAGTTAATGGCAAAGCTCCCAAGTTGGGTCCAAGCAAAGAACAGGCATCGGGCTGGATGGGAGTGACACTCCATTGCACTGCTCAGCTTGCTTAGACCTTTCCAGGGAGCCCTGGCACCAGTGTATGCTCCTCTGGTTGTCTGTAAGCACCGTGAGTGGGAATGGGGTGGAGGTGTCCCTTGGACTTTGCTCGAACATATCAAATAGACTGGACTAGACTAGACTAGACTAGAATAGAATATTTCAGTTGGAAGAGACCCACAGTGATCATCTAGTCCAGCTGCCTGACCACTTCATGGCTGACTAAAAGTTAAAGCATGGTATTGAGGGCATTGTCCAAATGCCTCTTAAACACTGACAGGCTTGGGGCATCAACCACCTCTGTAGGAAGCTTGTTCCAGTGTTTGAGCACCCTCTCAGTAAAGAAATGCTCCATAGTGTCCAGACTAAACCTCCCCTGATGCAGCTTGGAGCCGTTCCCAGGCGTCCTGTCCCTGGATCCCAGGGAGAAGAGCTCAGCACCTTCCTCTCGACATCCCCTCCTCAGGAAGCTGTGGAGAGCAATGAGGTCATCCCTCAGCCTCCTATTCTCCAAACTAGACAAACCCAAAGTCCTCAGTCGCTCCTTTAGGCTTCCCACAGGAGGCTCAGCACCATTGGGAGTTTGATATCAGTCAGTCATGCCTTGGTGAGCATCTTCCCATGGGGCAGTGAACTTCAGCAGGCCTCCGGTTCCCACTGGTGACACCTCTGCCCAGCAGAAAGGATGGGTAGAGGAGCTGGGCAGTGTCTCCTTCAGCCAGCCTCCTGGGTTAGGCCCACGGAGGGAAGACACTTCGTTAAAGAACTCCATGCTGTCATGAAACAGCATGTCCAAGGCAGGAAAGGAGGGGATGCCAGCTCTTGCGTGTTGCAACCAGGTTTTCAAATTGCCCTGGGGACTGAATGCCAGGTAAATAAAAATTAATGGGGATTTGACAGCTGGAGTTGCTAAGTCACAAAGAACATGCATAACAAAGCCTGGGTTTTTAACAAGGAGGGTCATGACAGGTTGGAACAGTTTAACCAGGGTTGTGTGGGTTCTGCTTTGATGGATGTTTTAGAATCAGGGTTGGAGGCTTTTTCTCGCGGGCCTCCTTATTTCTCTGGCTGGGGAACACGTGGTGGCTTGGGCTGTGCAGGAGAAGAGCTGAGGTACCTTCAATGGTGTGGAGATGTGCTGCAGTACGACCATGTCTCTTCTCCAGACAGAGGTTGCTGAGGATCCAGAGAAGGTTTCCACTGTTCACTTACAGCTTGGGCTACCGCTTGTGTTCATCCTCAGCCAGAAAGAGACCTATGAGGCTGACAGGAGGACAGCAGAGTTTGTGGCCTGGCAGCTCTTGGGGAAAGCAGGAATTGCCCTTTTGTCCAGGTATTTGCTCTCAGGTGTTTTGGGGTTCTCCTTGATTTTTGTGGTGTTTCTGAGCTTGGTTACCCCACCGCCAGGATGATAGTCGGTGAGCTTAGTCACGTTTGGATGAGAAGCAGTAAAACTAGTCTATGTCCTGCAAGAGGATGCCACATTTAAGGATTTGTTCAGAATCAGATTAGTTTGGTTTCAGACTGACTGGAAGTGTAGAAATGTTTGAGTCTCTTGCTGACTTAGAAGTGGAAAAACAGACTAAGAGAGATTTTGGAAAGTAAATTAGCACAGATGGAAGACTTGTATTTTGCCCTCAGATTAAGGGCAGAAGGAGATCCAGTAAAGGAGGTGGACTGTAGGTGCTGGGGTGCAGTGGGGGTCCTCGCTCAGTAAACAATGCCTCCTCAGTCAACGAGGGCTCTGTGAGTTAGACCAGCGCGTTTCTTCCCCAGGAGAACAGGAGACACATGGTGGTTGGCCAGAGGACAGGGGTGCTGTGGGGATCTGGCTTCCTCTGAAGCTGACTACCAGTTACTTATCTCTGCTCCATGGGCTCAGGAGCAGCCTGCGTACACCAGACTGGCTTGTGTTTGCAAATGCTTCCATGGTGTCTTGCCAGAGGAGGTGTGCAGCCCCTGTGGGCATGGTTGCACAGCCTGTGGGGATGTCTGCTGGGAACTCTACCTAATGGCAGGAGATGGAGGAAGGAAGGGTGTGGGCTCTCTTACTCCAGCTTTCTGCCACTGTGGTACCTCCCTGTATGGAGGCACTTCTTGGCTGCATTTATTCATGAGCTGAAGTCCACCAGCGGAGCATCTGCATTGGGATGTGGCTACCAGTGCATGAGCAAAGGCCCGAATCACAGAAAGGGAATCCCAGCCCCTTGCGAAATAGGCACATTATGCAGTGCAGTCCCACCAGAAGGTCACTTGGAAGCCATTTCTCCATGACTGACATTGATTCTGGGTTTCTGCAAGTTCTCAGGGGCTCTGAAGCATGACTCTGTGAGGACATGGTGCTGCTGAGAGAAGTGGGCTTGCCAGCCAGGCAGGCTGAATGAAGGGGGTGACCTTGCACATTGCACTATCTAATGTTCACTTTCTATTTTGGAAGGGATCTCGTAGATTTGAACATTCTGCTCCGGTCAAACGTCGCTCTGAAGACACCAGATGAGGTTAGATGCTAGATTTTGTTATTGTACAACTCTTTATTTCCCTGTCTGGGCATGGTGTTCTTGAGAGGTGTTGGAGTGTTGCTCAGCTCCTTTGTTATTTGACAGCCTTCCCAGAAGCTTAAAGGGAAATGTCTTTCCCTAGATGCATGCTTGTATTTGGAACTGCCCAAGTTTTGTACTGCAGAGCAATTGTGCCTGCTGGTAAAGATAAAATACTGAGTTTATTTTAAGTTCAAAACGTGAGGTGACATCTCCATCACACCTTAAGGCTACACAAAGATGTGAACTACCTAAGGTAGTAGTCCAAGTGCAAATTCGCCAAAGATTTGGACTTCTGAAGGCCCTTGCCCCCTTAGGAAAGGCGTTCAAAAGATGGAAGAGGGAATGAGTGTGAAACGAAGAGCAAACTAAGAGGAAACAACCAAAGGTCTGGGCTGAACTGATGTAACCAAATGCCTCTGGCAGTGATCTGGGAGAAGGGCAGGGTGTAAGTTAAATGAAGTTGATCGAGATGAGCTAAACTCTGGAGGGACCTGACCCAGCTTGTGAGGCAAGATGGAATTCGATGACGACAAGTGCCAGGGAGCACACATTGCCCCAGATTGCCTGAACTGTCACACTTGTGATTGCAAAGATACAGGATCAGACCTGAACCTGAGCATCCCCCGAGGCCTTCCCATGCCCTGCTGAGAGACGTGCATGCTGTGTTTCTCCTCTTGGAGCCAATGGGAGATGCCAGCAGTTTGTAATTTCTCTCAGTTCATTAGAAAATTCATTTTCTCTGAAGTGCCTTTTGCTGAGACAGTGCCAGAACTGATTTTAAGCCAACAAGGTCTCATTTCTGAGAAATATGTTTTGCTCTTTTCTTTTCATGGGTTGGCAGCCCGTGTACGCTTGGGAGCACTCTTCTTGGCTGAGCTCCATGAGATAAAGGATTTTTTGTGCCAGTTTCCCAGGCTGTGATGGGCTCTAGAGGGGGGACAGCTGAGGGACCCTGTACCTCCTCGCTCTCCTTCACTATTTGGCCATTGGGCTTTTTCTTGCATTGATGGATCTGTGTTAGGATGCTGGGAGGTGGAGCGGGTGTTCACTTTCACCACTCTCGGCACAGGTTCCCACATAGCCACAGTTACTTCCTCGCAAGGAAACTTCAATCTGGAGTGAGAAAAACTCATGCACAGGTGAAATTGGGTCAAAGAAACACACCCCCAGATGCCCCCCTGTTCGGCAGCTTTAGGAATCTGTTGACATAACCCAAAAAAAAAGCAGTTGGGTGATGGTGCCCCATCAGCCTTGAGTTTGGTTTGTGGACAGAATGGACATGGGGTGATGTTTTGCTCCCACTGATTTATTCTGTTTTCTCTAGGGAGTGCCAATCAAATACCTGGTCTTGGAAGACACTGATGAAGTTATAACCCTGGTGCAAGATAAGAACAAGGTCACACAAATCCAGGAGGATGAGGACGAGGATGAGGAAGATGAGGAGGAAAAAGAGAATAACAATCAAGGTGAGCAACTAAACAGTGAAAAGCTGATGGCCATGGGATATGACATGCAATCAGCATCTGCTAGAGACGTGCAGGAATATGTTAAAGCGTTAGAGAACACTTCTGCAAATCCAGGGCAAACCATCGCAGTCACATCACGGTTGTAGAAAGCGGCTCTTTCATTCTCTGCCGATCACTGGGGATTAGTGACAGGCATAATTTTTAGGGGAGACACCAGGGAAGAAAGTCAGCAGCTGTTAGAGGAACAGTTGCAGAGGTGCTGCATGAGGGAAATGGATGCTTCTGCTTGAATGCATCCAGCTTCAGGGGCATGAGAGTTTAAAGCGCACCCAGAGCTGTCTCCTCTTCAAGCACCAGACGAAGCGCCTCAGAATTATCAGTGCCTTTGGAAAGGTTTGAGACATGTTTTTCTAAGAACTGTTCCAGACTTGCCTTCCCCAGGGAGAAAACATTGGCCCCTGCAACGCTTCCTTGAAAACACATTTGTTTTCCATACAAAACTGGGTTTGTTTTCAATAAAAAAAAGCCGCACAGGATCCTAGAGGAGTCAACACGCTCAAAGAACAGCATTCAAGTCAGAGGGCACAACTGGTGTGAGACGGTGTAAATGGATTTCAGTGGGTTTGTTTGTGTGTCTGCGCCTGTGCCTGTACTCCAGAGATACTTACCCGCTGCTGACAGCCACCGTGTCTCTGCTGAGAGGTGCTGCCCTACAAAAAACATGCTGGTGGGGTGGCCCGGGGGGCTGCAGTCCCCTCTGCCCTGTGCACGTCCCTGTGTTCACGCACGGCTCTGGCTCCCTTGCAGATATTCAGGATGATCAGGTGGTGGAAGCGGTTTCCAGGGACAAGAAGCGAGAGCTGCCCCTCGAGCAGATCCTTGTCCTGACAGAGGAGACCTTCCACTCTGCCCTTTTGGAGACTGCCCGGATGGTGGTGCTGTTTTATGCCAGCTGTGAGTATGAAATATGGCTTGGCTGTCCCTTCTCTAAGCTTACGCTGCTCACCATGCTTTCTGGAATACAGTGATCCTGCAGACAAGTTCAAACGATAAGGAAGTGCAGCATCCTGCCCACCGTTAGCAATCAGATTAAATCAGTTCTTTTCAATGACTGATACTGCGTGAAGACAGTATCTCTCAGTATAGAAGATATCACTGGGTTTTAACCTTCATTTTACAGGGACTGCATGTAGGACCAGAGAGGAAATTGTGGTAGCTTGGGCTTGTGGGATAGCCTAGACAACCTGGTTGCTGTCTGCTGCACAGAAGCATAAAGTCCGATTTTCCGTATTTCTTTCAAGTCTTTCAGAGCTTGGAGCGCCTTAGGATGCAGAGAACTGTAACGTGACTTTGTCAGAGAACAAAAATGAAGCTGGTCTGTCACCTTTATGTCCCTCAGGGCTGTGTCTCTCCTGTGTTTCAGGGGAGGCAGTGTCCCTGGCAGTGCTGCGGGCTTACACCGAGGTGGCCGATCACCTGGAAGGTAAGGTGCCGCAGGTCTGAGCTCTTTACAGCTGGTGTGCCCAGAAGACTGGGAGGATATTGATGGTACCTCACTCCCTCACTCAGAATATACCCATTCTTTCCCCTCAAACTCTTCAGGAAGGCACGCCCACATCAGGTTGCTTAGGAAGAGTCCTTTGTTTCCTATTTAGGGATCTTTGCAGTCCCTTTGTGCCTCTGTAAAGTCGTGGGACTGGGAACACAGCCTTCTGCAGTCATCTTCTGTTGTTGGTGTAAACTGGTACACGCCAGCTGCCCAAAATGCCTTGCAGCTGAGGTGGCAATGTTGGTGGGCACAGTGACAGGGTGAGGGATGATGGTGATGGTGATGATGATGATGGTGGTGATGTTGGTGGGCACAGCGATTGCGTGATGGTTGATGGTGATGGTGGTGATGATGGTGATGGTGGGCACAGCAATTGCATGATGGTTGGTGGTGATGGTGGTGATGATGATGATGATGGTGATGTTGGTGGGCACAGCAATTGCGTGATGGTTGGTGGTGATGGTGGTGATGATGATGATGATGATGATGTTGGTGGGCACAGCGATTGCATGATGGTTGATGGTGATGGTGGTGATGGTGGTGATGATGGTGATGTTGGTGGGCACAGCAATTGCGTGATGGTTGACGGTGATGGTGGTGATGATGATGATGATGGTGATGTTGGTGGGCACGGCGATTGCGCGAGGGATGATGGTGATGAGGAAGGTGATGTAGGTGGGCACAGTGACAGTGACAAGTGCCCAAGAGCACGGGGAGGGCCAGGGCAGAGCACCAGCGGCAGTGGGTGACATGGGGTGGGTTTTGGAGTGAGGCGGAGCAAACAGCAGGCACTGTAGCCTGCATCATGGAAACAGGGGCCTGTTTGTGCCCCTCAGTGCTAGGTCCTGCACGGACCAAGGAGGTGCACTATATGCTGCACAGCAAATGAATGTGCTGGGTGGCACGTCAGGTCTCCTGTCCTTGGAAGTTCTTGATCTGGAAAGGAGCAGTAATTGGCCCCAACTTCGGTGGAAAGGAAGACAGACGGGTGTGGGCAGGCCCAGATACACCAGGGCAGGATGGTGTCAGAGGAAGAATTTACAGTGATGGTGCCTTCAGGGCCTGGAGACTGCCTTAATTACATGGGAAGTCTTGCAGGCAGCCACAAAACTCCATAAATAATATGTGACGGTGAAGAATCAGCAGCACTTAAAGATAGCACACCTTGGGTAGTCTGGTAGTAAAGGCAGGAGGGCTCCAAGAGGGTCTGAGCAGTTCCTGAGCAGCATAAACCCCGATTCAGCTTCATTCAGGTCTTCATCCCCTATCCCTCTCTACAGTTAGTGGAGAGAGGTGGGTTCTTCTGCACATCCATCATTCTCACATGGACTGAATCTCTTCCAGAGATGCCTGTTTCTCCCTCCACTGTCGGGGACACTCAGGTGGCTTCATCCCCAACTCATTGCAGCACGGTGGGGAAGTCGCGTGGATCTGGGCGAGAGCTCTGCCGGCACCCCTGGAGGTGGCTGGTGCCTTCTCTTGGTTCTTCTTCATCAGGGCTCATTTCTCCAAGCGATGGACTCCCCTGAGGCTGGGCACCATGTCCTGCAGAGTGCAAGCAGGATTCAGGCTGAGCTCGCAGCAGTGGGGACATGTATAGGGTCTGCAGAGGACCCAGCCAGCTTTCTGGGAAGCAGATGCAGCGGGAGTTGCTTACAATAAACCCTGTGGATGGTGCTGTGGTTTGGATAAAAGCGGTTCTACATTCATAGTTTGCACGAAGGGAAAGTCACCAGCAGCTTTGATCTGGACTGGAATCCCAGGAATAAACAGGAAAGCTTGGGGAGGGTTGTTATTGTTGTTGGAGATGTTATGGTTGTTGATGGTTTGGGGTTTCTTTTAGACTCCCCAGTGGTCAGACCAGTTAGAGGAGCAACCTGGGAGAGTCAGCAGATGAAACCCTGCCTCTTCCTGAGCCAGTGGCCAAACCTTGGCTGATTCTGTGTGGCCAGGCTTTCGCCATTTGTTTTTTGAATCATTTGATAACAATCTTGGTACATGGAAGCATCCACAGGCAGTTTCTCAACAGAGATTATGAACTGATTGGGGTCAGGGCCTTTTCTCTGTGATCACTGAAGTCCCACCAAAGACTCCCAGGCCACGTGTGACCTGTGGAATGACTCCAGTCTGCTTTCCCTGCTGCAGCCTCGGAGAGGATGGACGGCTGCGTTAGTGGATCTGGAGATCCTTTGTCTCTGCTGCTGAGGGAGCCTCAGTCAGAGATGGGCTACAGGGGAGCTGGAAGACCTAAAAGGATGGGGGTCCCTGGGCTCTCAGTTACGACCAGGATGAGGGAAGATAGAGCAGCGCAAGGGACAGAAATCTGGAGCAGGAAGAAGATCTTGAGCTATGCAGGACTGAGAGTAAAACATGGGGTATGGCTTTGTGGCAGTTTCTCAGCTCCCCCAGAAGCGCTGGTATTCCTGTCTGCTTTCTGGGGTGGAGTTTTCTTCCTAAGGGCTGAGAAGCCAAGACCAGCTGTCTGAGGCATGAATCACCCACTCTAGAGGCACATTTTGAGTTGCAGAACCAGGTCCCACTTTTGATGCCAATTCCTTGTGCAAAATTGCTCTGCGAACAGGCCATATGAGATCAAGCACAAAAGGAATGGAGGAGGTTGGAGACTGGAATGACCCTGTGAATCATCCAGTAACAGATGTTCAGCAGATCATCGCAAAATTAAGTTTATAGCCCCCCAACTGTTTTCCCTTCATTGAGAGATGCAATCTAGCAAGAGATAAAAGAGAGGCATCTCTATCTTGCTGAAGCGAGCACATTTTCTACTCTTGCAGCAAGAGCATGCCATTCCCACTGCCACTGCGGCTAACGGCTGCAAATCTTGTTTTCTTTTGCAAGATGAGAATTCATGGAAGCAGCACCCCTGAAACAGAAGAGGATGTGAAGGTGAGACAGTGCTAAGCATTTCTTAGGTGTGTCATTGGACCTTTTCTGCAAAGAAGAGAGGAAACCAGTATCTATGAAGAGCCATATACTGTGATGGAAAATCAGTTCTGCTTCTCTTTTCTGTGCTTGTGGAGTCTTCTTGACCAGTACTTCCAAAGACAGAGGTCTGAAGTTGTAGTTCAAAGGCATGAAAATCACTTGCTCGATTTAGCAATGTATCTTCATGGAGCCTAAATCTGAAGTAAATAATTAGAAGTTCATTGTAATGCTATCTGGGTAGTTGTTTCCCATTCCATATTAGATTCCTCCTCTTGAGGTGCAGCACTTCATACATTACTTCTCTTTCATGTCGTAGCTTTTGGATGAGCTCTTCAAGTGAGCTGTTTCCAATGCCAGTCCTGCTCTCCAAAGGATTAGAAGTTTAAGGGATTCTTGATTTTTCTTGTTCCCTATGGCATTGATGATTGTCCTGGTTTTATAAGACTCCTAGGACAGACATTCTTGCTGTTGCTGGTTTTAGTAGCACCTAAAATTACAGAACAGTAGGATCTTGTGTTCCTCTTTCACCTTTCTTCCCATCCAGCAGCTCAACAGTGACCACAGGGCTGAACAGTGTGTTGCTGAGTTACTCAACTCCTGAAATTGCTGCTCATTCAGTAATTAATAATATGGTGTAGATTGGAACGGGAGAGTGATCATCCTGTGCAAGGTGTTCCTCAGGCCAGGTGGGGCTCCTTTGGAGTACTTTTGGTACATAATCCCTCAAGGTAGTATCCAAATACTAAAACTCATGTTTGAGGGACCTTAGAGCAGCCATGCATCTCAATTTTAACAAGGTATCAAAGTCCTATTTCCATGTCATTTTTTTTCAGAGTTGGGCAAGACACATGGTTATGTGGTAATAGATAATGAGAACCAGCTATTCTGGGTCAGAGGTGCGAAATAAATCCTGGGGCAGGCTTTTAATTTGGGATGTTATTTCAGAGCCTGGAGAATGACACAAACCATTTCTGCTCTCGTGGAGTGTTTTGACAACTCCTGACTGTCTGAGTGGAATTGCAGACCCTTAGCTCCGCGCTGTACAGGAGTTTGACACAAGGCAGAACAGCAGCAGAACTCCTCACGTGAGCTGCAAAGCAAAACCTAAAATGAGGGTTGCAGAAAATGGTCCAGTGGGATGCCAGGGACATAGGGATAGGGGATAGGAACACATGCAGAGGTCACCCCTGCCTTCGCCCTTCTCTGTGAAGATGCCTTGCTGATCCCTGGCAGGAACATTTCTGATCTGTGAAATAAAACCCTTCCACAGCTTCTCTGCCAAGGCGACTCAGCTGTGCTTGGTTCTCAGTAGCTTGTTTTAATATTTGGTCTGGGAATATTTAATACCTGGAAATAGGTTGTTGCTTGTCCTTGCCCAGCTGGCAGCATAGAGTAATCTCACTGTCGCCTCCAGAGCAGACTTTACATATTGTTATATTTTATTGTTTCTTTCTTCCAGGTGATTTCCAATCAAAAGAAACACCATTCTTTGGGTTTTTCCTCAGGAGGCATGTCTTTAAAACTTCTCCAGATTCTCTCTCATCTGTGTAAACCTTTCCAAAAACATGTTTCCTAGCCTGGCTTGCTGGGCTCTGCATAGGTCTCGCTGGGACAGAAGAGCATCATTTTCCTCCCATGTCTTGCAGACACTGCTGAGAACTCATCCCAGAATGAGCTTTGCCCTTTTCTGCAGCACTGATGATATCTGTGCATCCTGCTTCTCATTACAGAATGCTGCTGTTGTTACATTTTGCCCTTCAAATTGCTTTCTGCCCCTCTGGGCTTGGGACCATTTGTAGATAGGAGGTGTGTGTTTTATTCCATCAGCCAGACCTTTAATGAAAATAGTGATGAGAATCAAATCTAGGACAGACAGAGAAGAAAGCCTGGCTGTTTTGATCTGCTGTACTCTTGAGAAATCCCCATCACCTGCCCTGACCCTGGTTTCTGAAGGACACTTTGCTACGGTCTGCCTCCGTGTGTGTACTTGTCTTTAGGTTTCATCCCATCTTTCCCATGTAACTCTTGAATCCTCTTCAAACAAATTTAGGGAAGGCATGAAGATTTCTGCGATAGGGCATTCCTGCAGTGGGCATGGACGACGGATGGCCTGAGGACTGTACACAGCCCTGCTGTCCTTGGTCAAGCCTGCAAGTAGGCAGGAGGCAGGTTAGGCGAGGCTGGCAACCAGGGGGTGGTGGCTAGTGAAGCCGGTGATGGTTCACCTGCCAGCTGGTTAGCACAGGCTGAGCCGTGGACCAGCAGCCGTGTGTGCTGGTCATCACCCAACCTGCAGAGGAAAGAAAGGTTGATAAGGACATGCTGGAGCTGTGCACACTGTGTCTTGGGCTCATGGAAAGCGTGAAGGGAGCCAACCTTCATTTGTTTCGCTGCTGATGAATCCTTCGAGTTTATCGCTTTGGTGAGACCCGTAAAAAGCTTTTTAGTACCAGGAACCAAAGTTGGACCGACTGATAGGTAATTCCCAAGTGCTTTCCCTTTCCCTCTCCCTTACCTGTGAGACCCCAGGCTCCTTCTTAAGGTCCTAAAGGTATCTGCTAGTGGTTTGGAGCTGAGCAGCTTGCATAGGAAGGATAAGGTGAATGCCATCAGACTGCCAGCCTCTATTACATCTATCATGTTTATGTGACCTTTAGCTGCTCCTTGTGTATTGGGCTTCATGCTTTAGGTAGCACAGATGCTTTTTCAACACTAGGCACCTTAATAAATGAAAAAGCCTCGAATGCATCAGCCTCCTCCATGCCAAGCTTTATCACCCCTCTTCCCTGTAAAGGAGGGCCTGCATCGATTCTTTGTTTTTGGCCTTATTCCTAAGGTATTTCCAGCACCTTTCCTTACTGCCTTTTATGTGCCCGGACAGTTGCCTCAGGGTTTCGTGGTGTTGCTTTGAGTAACCAGCCAGATGTGAATGTCTCTGGGAATTTCCTTCTGAGAAGTGCAACCTACCACTTCCATGAGTTTATTTTCTCCCTGGTCTGTTGTTTGGATCAATCCACACCTGCTGAAGTATTTAATAGTTTTGCAGGCTGGAAATAGTTATTATTATGCTCAAAAGTGTAAGGTTAAATTATTTCAAGAGGGAGATGGCCTGTACTCGAAGGGATTGTGTATTTGGGGCTGGATTTTGACATCCTGCCCACACAAAGCAGCATTTGACTCCAGGATGGGCCCAGCAGCTTCTCAGCAGTAGCCCACCTGGGGTCACTCCATGTGCATGCAGCGTGTTAGGATCCAGCCCTGCAGGATGCATGCCAAAGCAAATAGGAGTTCTGGCAGCATTAACACAAATACGTGCAATAATATCCAAAGAAGCTAATAAAAAGCTCTCTTTTTCAACCATTTTTTTTTTCCCCCCCATGTTATTTATACGTATTTGTTTTCCACTCCAGGAACTCAGGGAGTTTTGCTCTCTCGGGTAAACTGCTGGGACTGGCCTGTTGTTTGCACAAAGGAGAACATCACTCAGTTTCCTACCATCAAGATTTTTGAGAAGGGACAGCGATCAGTGATGTACGATGGCATGTGGGGAACCGAAGAACTGATCAGCTTCATCATGCTGTAAGCGTCTGTTAATGAGTCCCCATGCAGTAAGGTTGGCACATCTGCTAGATGATATTCTGGATGCTTCACATCCTGTGTAATGGAAATCCTGTTTGGAAAAATAATGTCAGATCTGATTGTAGACCTGGTTTGAATATTAGCTTAATAACTTTTTGTGCTTTTCAATGTCAGGGAACATCTGTTCTTGGACAGTGCATCCATCTGTTGTCACTGTCCTTCTCTCTTTGCTGGAATTTCTTCTCTGTTATTTTTAGTGGGGATCCCAAGGATCTCAGAGCAACCAGTTTGGCTCAGGGCTGTTCTCTCTTCCCCATAACCAGCTCCAGTGCCTTTCTGTGACTAGACGTTGTCCTTCCTTCCCAGGTGACTGATTTTTGTCTCTAATGAGGCATAACGGTTGTCATATTGGGTTGGGGTTGCACTGGGTTGGGTTGAGGTTGCCCTTTTGTCTCTTCATCCCAAAAGTGAAGAAGGCAGCAGCCCATGTTGTTTCTCTGCCTTTCCACAGGAGCCGAGTGTCTTGCCCTCTGAAGCTGGCCACGATTGATGAAGCAGAAGGATATTTAAGAGGGGAGTTTCCATCTGAGCTGTCATCCTATCACCACACTTCATTCCTGGGAGTATTTAGCACAGCCACGAGTGAAGGTTAGTACGGTATTTGTGGGTTAAGCCCTCAGTTTCTTTCCTGATGGGAGTGGGGTGATCAGGTGCTTGGAAGTTCCTCTGTGTTTCATTTTCTCTAAGTGTGTTTGCTCACATCCCAGCCTGCCTGGCACCACCCTTTTTATTTTTGCAAGTAGAAGGCCGTGGGTGATTCCGGCTGTGGGGCCCAAGGTCCATATCCTGGCTCAGAGGACATTCAGCTGCCAGGCTACTACACCTGGTGTGGTAGCATCTGACAACCCCAACAGAGGTTGAGACGAGGTGATTGGTGCAGCGCAAAACAACAGGGCCTTGGGTGACCTGTCTCTGCAAAGAAACTTTTGCAGATGTCCAGTCTGAACTTATCAAGGCTCAATTTGTGCCTTTTATCCCTGTTGTATTTCCTGCCCCTTACCGTGAGGGTTTGGCTCTGTCCCCTTTACAAGTCTCCTTCAGAGTGGTTGTAGGCTGCTGTTAAAAACCCCTCTTAACCTCTGACTGAGCAAGCCCAGATCCAGCAGCCTCTTCTTGTAGTCCACATACAACATATCACAGCATATTCCTTCTTAAAGAAAGCCCTTTCCGCTATTGGATTGATAGTTATCTTGCTGACTCCCTCCTCCTGCAAAATGTGGTAGTCCCAGTCCTTGCAACCAACACACAATCCAACCCCCTTTTTTTTTTTTAAAAAAAAAAACCCTCCTCCTGCAAAATGTGGTAGTCCCAGTCACCAACACACAATCCAACCCCCCTTTTTTTTTAAAAAAAAAACCCTCCTCCTGCAAAATGTGGTAGTCCCAGTCACCAACACACAATCCAACCCCCCTTTTTTTTAAAAAAAAAAAAACCCTCCTCCTGCAAAATGTGGTAGTCCCAGTCACCAACACACAATCCAACCCCCTTTTTTTTTTTTTTTTTAAAAAAAAAAAAAAAGGCAAAGCAGCAATAAGTTAAAATACAAATTTCTTACTTCAAAAGGAACGAAATGTGAACAACTTGATGAAATCCACTTGCGGACTTTGAAATAGATGGGCACAGCCCCCAGGGTGGTGGACAACAGCTAGAAATGCTAAGCAGAGGTGCTGGAAGGAATGTTCCGAAATTGTTTGAATTTGTCTCACTCTGTAATCTCGGTCTGTGTAGTCCCGGCCAGCGGCTGAGACTTGGAGCAGTCACGCTCTCCTTCCCCAGCCTGCTGCATAGGGTGCCGTTGGTCACCCGGGTGCTGCTCCAGTGTCATTCATTGCATGCTGTAGCTGTGCTCCAGGACCCATTGGGTTTCCACAGCCTTTCTGAAAGATGGCAACATTGGCCCAAGAGCTACGGTGGTTTTTGATGTGACAATTGTATATGCTAACAAGGGAGAGGGAAGGAAGTCAGTCTGGAAAGGGAACATCATGTCATGCTTCAGTCAAATCCACAGTGGAGACCAAAGACCTTCCAACCCCACAGTTACCAGATATCCCTGGGAGTTACTGCATTAAAAAAAGGAGAATTTTCTGATCTATCTTAAGATCAAAATTTAGGATTATTTTTCATTTTGAAGCTCCGTTGTGCCTGTAAATTTTGGTTAAATGCAAACCAAGCTACTTTCTCACATAAGGAGAGGGAATACACTGTGCTTGGAGGTAAGAATGAAATAAAATGCCTGGAACCAACCATAAAACACTTGGGCTGTGTTCACTGAGCCAGCCGACAGCTAATACACCTGCCTTCTTCTGGAGGGTCTAAGTCTGTTAAGTATAGCAGAAAATCTTGCTGATCTCAAAAAACCTTTAGCCCATTTCTCCCTGGTTTTCATCAGCTGAGCTCCAAAATCTTCCCTCTGTTCCACCTATTCCACTCGTCGCAGTAGCGGAGCCTGGATTAGCTCCATGGTCTGAGGACCTTGGACAACACGGGGCTGGTGAGAGGAATTCATGGAAGGAACCTGCCAGGATCCGGCTGGACGTGTGAGCTCAGACTCTTTTCTATATAGAAGCTGTTGGTTTGGTTCCGTGCAAACAAGAGCCTTGGAGGTTTCCAGGCGGCTCTGTGTGGAGCCCGTGAGATTGCCTCTTCCCTCGGGCACACTCGGGCTGCAGTCTGGGACGGCACCCGCAGTCTGGGGTGACTCAGCTGCCGAGGGAGATGAAATGCGTGATGCTTTCACGGCCCCGTAACCTGCGGGGTGTTGGAGCGTCGCGCAGAACGACCTGAGGGAGCAGAAAACTGGAGGCAGCTCGTTTGGCACCAAACCCCGGGCCAGCGTCAGGGAAACCACGCTGCTGCTCTTATCAGCCTGCAGACTTATCGGGAATTTCCAATGATTTTCTCACGGCAAGAATTCCTGCTCTAACCTGAACCAGCAACATGCCATGTTATTGCCATTTCTCGTTAGCTGAAGCAGAGCAACAAGATGTCCAGTTAAATAAAGCCCTGGATTTTTTCCAACACTTAACGTCAGAACTATGTTAAGAAGCCCTTCAGTGGGTCTGAGCTAAAAGAGTCTTGTTGGAAAAATTATAATTAAAATTTATTACAAAGAGTTGAATGGTATTACTAGGGCAATGAACGAGCATTTTCCTGGAAACTTGAAGAACTTACAGGAGAGAAATTTGTTTGCTATGCAGAAACTGAAAGCATGCTTGGAAATAAGGCTCTGTCCTAAACTGTGCAGCAAATGTTTAAAAATACACCTGTGTTCTGCAAATCTCTGATACCACTGTAGGACTTGCCAGCATCAGTGTAGACCAGGAGAAGGCGGTATGCAAAGTTACTACAGCTGCTGCTGCAGAGCATGGCTTCATGAGATGCTTTCTACTAGAGGGATAAAGGGTCGTGCTCAGATCCTGCCTCCAAAAACTCTGCAGGAGCTGTAGACCCTCCCTCAGCTGACAGTTTTATTCCTTCTTGTTCCCAAATCCTGCAGTGAAGCTGGACTTGTGCAATTCACAGCAGCTGTCGTGGAAGGCAGCTGGGATCCCAGCTCGTGGCATGTGCTGCAGCACATAATCAGGCCCTGTGGGGAATTAAAACAGTGCTCTCAGGGTGGCCTGATTTTCGAGGGAATACTAGAAGTGCACTGTGTCTGTAGTGGAGCTGTGGGAATTTAGGAGGTTTCTTGCACAGAGCTAAGACCATTGCTGTGAGCTGTTGAGGAATGAAGGCTGGTGCATGGGTCTGGCACAGCCCCCAAAGTAGGAAAAAATTTGGAAGTGTGATAGGGAGGGAAGGTCTCATCAGGAATGACCCTGATGAAAGGAGTAAGCCTGGACTCTGCTGAAGGTTGTCCTGGTTTAGGAGAGAATTCTTGCAGCTAGGGATGCCGCAGGGCAGCACTTCAACACGGGCTTACGTCTCGAGTGGGTGTTTGAAGTTAAATGCCTGTAGAAATGCTCTCCTGAGGAAGATTGGATGTGAGCCTGCACTTGCCATGTCAGGAAAGTGTCCTTTAGTGCCTTATGGCACAGGCCATGCTCACAATCTGCCCCGTGGCCTTTTGTCCAGTGGCTGGGGCATGGACAAGCTCACACAGGTTTTGCTGGTGAGGTTCTCGGTGATCCCCATCAGCTGGTCCTATGGGTTGCTTTTCTCTCAACACTAATAAAATCAAGTGACCAAAACCAAAGAGCTGGAAACTCAAGCCCATCCAACAGTGGTTTTTTCTATATCACAAGATGAACCAGGCAAGCTGTGTCACCAGCTTTGTTGTACGTGTGTTGTTTCCTATAATGTCTGAACCCTCAATGAGCCACTCCTTTAAGGATCTAAGCTTCCATTTGGAAAGGAAAATAGCATAAAGAAATGTTTGTGGTCCCTGTGGTTCCAGGGAAACACAATGGAAAATACGGCTTTGAGTGTAACTGGAAAGCAAGAGGCAAAGAACCAAAAAGTGACCAGCTGGGAGCCAGCCTCCGTCTTTTGAAATCTGAGTCACCGGTCCCAAGGGCTTGGGCTGGCCAGTTGTGATATGGCAGTGGACGTTATGAGAAACACAAAATAGTATCTGAATGAGATCTTACTGAAGTTATAAAGCAACATATATCATGGCTGTATCTGAGATGTAACCTTAATTCTTGGGAAAACCTGACTTCTCCAGCGAGCATGATTTCTCACTCCCCTTAAGTCGGCAGAGCCTTTTTTGTTGCTGTAAGTTGCTCAATACAAAAGGGGAGAGGTGGTGGTGTTGAAATGCGCCCTGTTTTCACCCTACCTTCGGCAGCAGCGGTTTTGATCTCTGATCCATAGCTGCATTTTACAAACCCACACAAGATGGCTTGCATGTTCTCACAAAGCTCATCCCTCCCATGGAATCCAGCTGCCTAAAACTGAGGATGGTTTATAATGGCATAAACCAGCTCTGGAATCAGCTTCATTTCAGGGCTCCGCTCTCAGTCTCTCAGCACGAATAGATTCAGCTGTGATGGATCAAGAGAGCCCCAGCCCAGTCCTTTCCTCCCCATCCTCTCCCTGCCCTCACCCTCCCACTAAGGCGAGCGGTGGACCCCGGCAGCCGATGCAGGTGGGTTTATGCTGGGCTGTATTGACCGAGGTGCTGCCCTCTCTTTGCAGCTGCACAAAGCAGTGGAGCACGCCGTGTCTGCAAGGCATTTGGCTTTTTGACATTCCCTATCCTAGCTGGATGCCCCGTAACAGACCCTGCCTGCTTTGAGGAATTGGGTGAAACGAAAAGAACCTTGGGGGAGAGGTTGGTTTATCTGCTGGGCACTTAGCACTGCTCCAGTTAAGTCATTATCAGTCATTTCCAAAAGGGAACTGTGATTTATAAGTTTTCTATTTAGACTTATAATTGGTCTCCTGTTTTGAAGAACACTTATGGACTTTAAGTCATTAAAGACATTTACTTTTCCATCGGTGCCTCTGTCGTGCAGATTCTGTAAACTCAGGGCTGGTGGCTAAAGAGCAAGTACTGTTCTCATAATAGGAACTTTCCTTCTGATCCTTTCAGCCGTTGCCAACTCCTCCTCCCGTAGCCTGCAGCCATGAGACACAACCATTTCTCATGAGCCCGTAATGGTAGTTTTGTTCCCCACTGACAGTTTGGTGTGGGAGGGTGTTATGTGTGCAGACAGCGATTTGTTTTCCAGGAGGAAGCTGACACTTCTCATTCGATTGTGGATTTTTTTGGGGTATCTTTTTCTGTTTTACAGCCAGGGAAGCTTTCGAAGAGGCAGGAAACATCTTAAGTGGCCACGTAACGATGGGGATGTATTTTGAAGATGATGCCTTGGCTTTGTAAGTTGTTTCTCATTTTCTTTGGGGAGAATTCAAACTGATCTGCATTTAGTGAAAGGCGATGCCTAGAGCAAGTGTCACTGGCCATGCTGAGTGTTTAACAGCAGCCCCAAACAGAGTGACTTAGTGCTGTAAGGAGGCTGGTCAGGGCTCAGCCAAAGGGAGCTGTAGCCCTGGCTCTGCCACTGCTTTGCAGCTTGCCCATGGTCAACTCATTTAGCCCTGTTGAAATGAACAGTCATCTCCCTTCCTGCTGTTCAAGTCCACTCTGAGTATTTTCAATCCTCTACCCCTGCCAGCCCCCATGCGTCTTTTGGGTTCCTCACAGAAACAGGACTAAACTTTTATGGAGGAAAAAACAGGCTGAAAAAATGATATCCTCTAACAAGAATTGGTGTGTGAGGAAGACAAAACAGTTCTGCCCTTCTCTTTCTGTCAGGAAGAAGTGATGAATTGTTACTGGTCTTCCTCTTTCTGCCGGCCCTTCATCTTCTCGTCTCTTCCTCCCTTCCCTGATGCTGCCAAAGGGCCTGCTGAGGTGGGGATGGGGAAGGGGAGCGTAAGGGGATTGCTGCAAAGCCAGGGGTGTAAATGTGAGCCTTGCTCTGATGGTTGCCCCCAGTTGCCAAAAGCAGCCAAAAGAGAGGCTGCTTGTGACTACTTGCCGGCTTTCTTGGCTAGTGGTGGAGTGGGCATTGTGTCTGAGTGCTGGGAAATGGTTTGAAAGTGCTGAAATAAACGTTGTCATCCCATGGAGCTGCCTTGGTGTGGAGCAGCTGGCGTTTCTGCAGCACCACGAAAGGCCTAAAACCCTTTTGGATCTCATCCAGCCTCCCAGTGGGCACTCACATCCGTCCGTGAGATGTTTGAAGCTGCCAGGGATGGGGAAGAACCTCCCTCTGTCTTTTCGGCAGTCAATCATACTGGGGTTTTTTCTTTTCTTGGAAGATGTGCCCACCCATTACCCTCCCTTTGGCACGAGCAAGGCGTTACCTCCATTTGCAGACAGAACTTTGGGGAGGTGCATCCTCTTTCTGGAGGAAGAGTGCTGGAAAAATATAGCAGCCTTCCTCCTGCACATGTGGTAAAGGCGAAATCAAGGGTTTCTTAGTCAGCTCCTGATGGAATAAGATCATCAATTGCGGCCCTACCTTTAAGCCAAATTGGAGCTAATGGGATCTGAGCATGTATCAGTTTGTGCACTTAACCGTGTCATTAAGACTCACGCCAGCAAGGGGAGAAGTGCTTTGGATTAGACTGTGAGAGATGCTTCAGTGCCTATAAATACAGCTAGACCCAGCAGGAATCTTCAGCTTGCCCTGGCATCTTATTTCCATCAGGAATTAGCCACCAAGGCAGAGTTAAAAATCCCAGAAAGTCCTTGGCCTGTTTTCCAGGTGTGAGTTTACCAGCCAGTAATGCGACAGTGAAATATTTTCATTAGTTTCTTACAGACGCGATGCTTCTCTAGTGTATCTGACAAGACATGGGCATTTCTGTGGTATGCACAGAGAACAGAAATGCAGATATCTTGGTAGTACATCTCTATTCATCAAACTGTGCTCAAAGCACCAGCCGTGGTTGGGTTTTAGAGGCGAGGCAGTGCCAGGCTTGTTCGGTGCTGGGGTGGGAGACCACTGGGCGATGGCAAGTACAGAAGTCACAACCAGCAGCATCAGTGTGAAAAACCTGACCCTCCAAGCTAAAAGGTTTTTCTCCCCTAAGGATCTCAGCTGATAGAAGGAGAACAAGCAAAGGAGGGCAGGGTGATCTCACGAAACAAGATACCAGTAGAAAAAGCCTGCGTTCTCTCAGCAATGACACATGCAAGAATACACCTCCATCCTCCTGCTCCAGCTGCAGTCTGCGATGTGCTCCTGTTTAGTTGGAATAGTTAATACAATTTATATTGGTATTCATTCTGCCAAGTTTGGATTTTGGCTGTGATTTGTGGGCAAAGCTACTGTAGATGGTCTTCTCAACTGTAAGTAGAAAGTAAACACTTACAGGAATTCCTTATGCAAGAGCCAGGCTCACTTCCCTTTTTAAGAAAAGAAAAGCTATTCTTCTAAACACTCAACGAGGAAATGTTTGTGGCTCCCAGGTCACAGAAAGCTGATTCCCTTCTTCCCAGAGAAAATGGTATACAAAATACACAGAGAATGTTGTTAGCAAAACTGTTTGCTCAACAAGCACCTGCCCCATTGGTAACTATTGAAAAAAAAAAAAAAAAAAAACAAAACAACACATTAAGGAAGAAATGCTTTGAATGAAGTAATTCTTTATTCCTCAAATACTTAGATGTCATAGATTCCTGCCAAGTATTTGTTTGCAGATGTTTTTGATTTAAATGCAAGTCTCAGATTACCCATCAAATGCCTCTGCTGTATAAATAGAAAGCTGCCATAAGCAACAATACAACCACTTGGTACCAGTAAGATGAAAAGTGATTTCAGGGTAAACTTCAACTATAAGATGGGGAATTTGTTGGTTTTCTGGCAGTATTTAAGAAACATCCTTATTAAAGGCTGCTGAACAAATTGGTGTATTTAGACATAGGGAGCAAGGGTCCTTACCTCCTCTGAGGAGCCAGAGACTCTCTTTAAGACCTGTGAAAGTTTGAGAAGTTAAAAATCCCTGAATTTAAAAATTTTCTAGGGTTTTACCATTCTTAATTGGTTGCAAATACAGGTTAATTTGAAAAAAAAAAAAAAAAAAAAAACCAACGAGAGGAAAGTTAAACACCTTCTTAATAGATCAGCAGATTCCCAGTCATGACCTGAAGTGTAAAACTCAAGTTCTTTGCCTGGTGGAGCTCAGGAATCTGAGCAGAAGGGGGAAATCTTAGCTCCGGGCTCGATTTATGAAGATAAATTGAAAAAAAAAAAAAGCAGAGGATACTACAAAATGAGCCTGAAATGACTCAGATAAATCCATGAACAGTTTAGCAGCAGGATTCGCAGCATTTGAAGGCCTCAGGAAAGTCCAAGGTCATTCACTACTGCTGCTCTTTACCAAGACATCAGTGCAGATGTGGGGTGCCCCTTAGAAATTCGCAGTGGATGTATTATTTCCAGACAGATAAGTGCTGCAATGAAGTGAAAGGCCCACATATGAGCTGAACATCATGGGCATGTGTTAGCTGTAGTTCCCTCCACTTGCTTTGTCACTGACAACCTAAACCATCAAGCACTGAGATATTTAAACCATCAGACACTGAGATATAAAGCAAATTTGAGCAAGTCTTCATTCCATTCAAAACTGCTAAAATAAGTGTCCAAACTGAACTTGCCTGGGCAAACCGCAGGGTGAAGTGTGATTAGTTGTAACATCACTTTTCTTTGCAGTTGGCTGAGTCTGTGTTGCGTCTTTCTCATATAGAAAAAAAAAAAAAAAAAAAAAAAAAGGACCAGATCACTTTTGAAAAGGAAATCAAGGGCTTTCCACCTCCTCACCTCCACAACCCCAAATGTCCTTCCATCTCACTCACTCCCCCAGCAATTCTGTTGTCACAGCCTTTGAAAAATTACCAGCAGCCTTTGAAAAATAAAATACAGATGCCCCCCCAAAAAAACTGTTGAGACATCTGACTTCCTCGGTCACACCCTTCCTCTGGGCACTGACATCTAGAGCCTTCAGGATGGAAGTTCCTCAAACTTCCAGAAAATTGCTTTCTCGTCTTGGTGTACCCCCTGCCCTTTTATTGCTCAGACTTCTCCTATTTTTGCTCTTTCCACCTTCTCAGCTTTTCTTTAAATACCATTGAACCCTCTTAACCAGAAGAACATTGGGGAACAAAGGATGAGCTGGCTTTTCCACTAAGAATAAACGCGTGCAGTTCGTGTGTGTTGCTCTAACCGGGGGTTGGACTTCAGCAAAACTGCCTGTGTTCACCAAGCCAAAAATCAGATCTCCTGGAGCTTATTTTGTGTAGGTTGGTGTCCCTCAGGTGGAGTCTGAGACTTTCTGCCTGCCTTGTCTTGGGAGGCAGAGTAAAGCACTGGGTCTGTGTTTGCACCGCCTAACAACCTTAAGTGTGAAAACGAAAGTGGAGCGCCAGCAAATAGTTTAAGGTGGTGGTGTTTTCGATTTTTCCTGTTATTTAGCTGATGATGCCTTTTTGCAGAAGAAGTATCTGAGTTTATGTGTGTATATATTTAGCGTCTGGTGCGAGCTGGGTAAGTGGTTGTTTCAGAGGGGGATGAGGGAACACGTCAGCCCCGTCTCTCCCCTTCAAAGCCAGACTGGAGAGGGGGCGATGGGGAACGTGACCCTTTCCTCCTCCTCTAACAGCAGCCTTTCCCTCCCCTACATTCCTGTCCCCACTTTTCCCCATGAGGATGCCAGCTCTGTGTGCAGCAGACTTGGTGTGTGCCAAATCCCCCAGCCAGTTTTTGTTACCATCCCTCTTTTCCAGATCCCGTAAATACGCGGTGTCCCCGCCAGCCCTCCTCCTGGCCAGGAGCGGAGGTCAGGGCGTGGAAAGCATCACTTTGTCCAAACAGAGCACGCAAGACATAGTGCGGATGATCAGATATGAATTGCTGGACATTTTTGTAAGTTAAAAAAAAAAAAAAAAAAAAGTATCCTTTTTCCATTGCGGTCGTTTGCAGAAGCACTGATTATAGCGTGGAGCTGTGCAAAATAAATGGGTTTGCTCATTATTTCTATCATGCTGAGTTACGTTTGTTTTTAAGTTTTATGGCTTGGATCAGACAGTCTGGACAGAAATCTGCTGTTTGCTGTGTGGTCTCGTGGGAGGAGAGACCCTGGGAGTCAATGGCCTGGCTTGTGCTCGTCGTCACAGACCCGCTGCCGGAGTGGCTTGGCCTCTCCCTGCCCCTTAAGGATGCTTCCCGAGGCTGGTTATAGTGGTAACACGTGGAGCTGGGCTGAACTGGCTTTGCTCCTGCCTTCTCTGCTCCCAGCCCTCCATCTCGGAGTGCTCATACAGACTTGGCTTGCGATGGGCAGGGCTGGGCGTAGACATCTCCAGCGTGCACCGAGATCCCGGCGCCCGTGCTCGTTCGCGAGCTGCTTGCATCCAACATGAACCCTGCAGCCTTGCTGGGTCCCTTCACCCCTCGCGTAAGGCCAGAAAGTCTAATTTTGCCCTGATCTCTCCTCCCTATAAACCCCAACTTCTCATTTTGATGTCTTGCAGCCAGAAATCACCGTGCAGAATCTTCCCCGCTACTTGCAACTCAGAAAGCCCTTCCTCATCTTGTTCAGCGATGGTGACATTGATCAAAAAGAAAGCAAGGAAATGCTGAAGCTGGCAAAAAGAAGACCCTGGCAAGTGTTTGTGGCTTGCTGGTTGAACTTGTGAGTGTGTAAAAACCTCTTCTCTTCTTTCCGTTAGCTCACTCTTAGCACTTCAGGGAAAGAAACAACTGAGTCTGCAATTACTGAAAACACTATTTAGCTGGTAATGCGATTATTTGGTCTGAAGTCATCAGGAGTTGGGAGGTCAAATCATTTAGCAACGATTCAGTATGTGTTCTGGGCAGCTGCAAAATTATGTGACAAAGTGAAATTAGTAAATGTTTAATTGATTGAAGAGATAATTTTCAGTAGAGTAAAATGTTCTCAAAGATATTGCGTGGTGGCTTGACCCTGGCTCTGGTGTTATTTGTGTTTTTGTTGCATGTTGAAGAAAAAAGTAGATTTGCCCTCCTGGAGTGTCTTCTGGTGATTTTTCCACTGGCAATTAGAGGGAAGTATTAACAGGGCAATTGCTGATTGTTGACCAGGGGAAAGAAAGTTTTCAGAAGAAGGGACAGCCAGAAGGAGCCCCATAAGGCAAACTTAAAAAATACTCCAGAAACAAAATGACTCCAGGAACTAAGAAATAGCAAGTTGTAGGAGAGGGGTTTTTTTTAATCCTCCCCTCCCTAGTTGCGTTTTCAATTTTTAGCCTCTGTTTGTTTTGCCCAAGCCCAGAGACACCTCACTGTCTTAATCATAGCGTGCTTTGAAGTCTGGGAAGCGCCTCGCAGCGTGGGCTGAAGCTTAGCTAACGGGGAACACACATGTTTTCAAAGAGAAGACAATTTGTTTGCCAGTAATGCACAAGAAACGAGAGCCCCTGGAACTTCCCCACCTACACATCTGCCTTTGCTCTCCCTGAGAAGGAAAGAGCTGTCCTTTGTCAGAACAAAAGCGCATGACCGCAGAAGAGGGCAGAATACAGCTGGTGGCTCGGGAAGAGTAGCACAGTCCTAGAAAGAGGATCTCAGTGCCACAGCGGGAGCCAGGTCAGGGCTGGAGCATCACTCTCAGCCTGAAAATAGCGCTGGAGGCACTCAGCGTCTTCGCGGGCTTGCTGCCTCTCCACCTCGGTGTCCTTTTTCAGGCTCTCTCCCTGTCACTCGGGGAAGTTGCCATCGCAGTTGCCGCCGCACCCAGCAGCTGCCCCCGGGGGGGCTGGACCTGCTGGGCGCAGCCCTCGCCGGCGCCTGCCCTCCCGTCCCATCCCCTGTGGAACTGCCGGAGCCGCGGGCCGGCGGCAGCGGCTGGGCTGGAGGGACCCGGTGGCTCTCCCTGCAAACGAGCTCGCCACGGTGGGCTGCAGCATCTGCCCCGCTTCTGCCTCACCCATCCTTAAAAAACTTACGGTGGAGAGCACCACACACCCTCCGACAGTTTGCCCCAGCTCCTCCTGCTCGAGGGTTCCTTTACGCATCTAATCCACTGCCTGCTCCCTCTCCGTCGGCCCCCGAAGGCTTGCTTGAGGAGGCTTGCCTTAAGGCGTGGAGCTGATAAATAGTGCGGTGGGCTTCTACAGCTGTCCCGTAAGCAAAACGGTGTGCTTTGCTGGATGTGGCCCAGGGGCTTTGGTGCTTGCTCAGCTCTCCATCCTGCTGTGCTGCCAAACCGCTGGTGAGCAAGTTGAATCTCGCCTTCCCCACAGGAGGAAGACTCCGGTGGGACGCGGGGTCCTGAAGGCGTACTTTGCCACCGTGCCTTCGCTGCCCGTTCTCCTCTGGGTGAACCTTCGTGCCGGGGGTCAGGTATTCAAGTTCCCGTCAGAGCAGTCCGTCACTGAATCGAACGTCTTGTCTTGGCTGGAGAAGCTAAAAACGGGACTGGAGATTCCCAGCAGTAAGTGGGCACACGTTTGTAACGTTCCTAAGCACAAACTGTTAGCTCCGGTCTGTTTATGGGAAGATGCTACGTGCAATAAATTCTCTGCCCTGGAATTTAATGATGGAAAAACTAGCTATGCTAGTTTGAGCTGGAGAAGTACAAATAGTCCGGCCAGGAGAGAATACCCGTACTCACGAGCTTGCTTTGGGACTGTTCAATGTTCAGAGCGAGGTGTGAATAGTTCTGAATCGACCTCTCATCCCCGCGATAATCCCCAAACCTGGCTGTGCTCTCCGCTTGCTGTGAACAGACCTTCTGAAACACAGCTTGCTAGTAAAAAACCTCCTGACTCCCAGTTGCCAGCATAAGAAATATCTGCTCTTTAGGCACTTTCCAGCACTTTTTTGGACGGAAGCGGATAAGGAAGCTGGTGCTTTGTTGTGGTCTTTGGGATGTGAAGGGTTGGCTTGTACCATGGAGCTTTTCACTGCCTTGATCAGCCTGCTGAAGCTTTGGAGGAAGGCAGCACAGATGTGCCTTCCTCATGTCTTATGTGTAGCCATGGGATGCCACAGGGACCTTGGGAACTGCTGGCTGCCAGCCTGCTCCAGGCTCCGGAAAGGCGATGGGGTGACTCCGCTTGATCTTTGTGAATTTTAAAATGAGCTTTTCAAAGCAAGTGTTTCCAAAAGCTGGCATCGGTCTGGTGGGGTAGGATGTGAAGGCTCTTGCCGGAGCTGAAGACACCATTTCTGACCCAGTAATCACGGGGAGAACCCCGTGAGTCAGCCGTGTCCCCCCCTCCACTTACCATTGCCACTGCTAACGGCACCCAGCTCTCGTGTAGGTCTCTAGGGAGGGACCTTAGTTTTCAGGGGTGCCAGAGGGGTGAGCTGATGTCTGAGCAGCTCACGGCATGGCCAAGGGCTGTGCCAGCCATCACAGCCTCCCTCCTCAGGCTTTTAAGTGCTACGAACCGTGTGATCAGTCTTAAAAGCATAAATTAAAGAGCATCCTCATGTAATGGGACCGCTTCCTCCTCACACAGACAGCAGCCTCCCCTCACTCCTAATGGTGTCTCAGTAATGCACAATCATTAACACAGTTATCTGAGAATAATGCAGAATATCTATTATTTGGATGTATCTGAATGAAACATCCACCCACTGGTGGACAGGCCCCCAGTGTGACCTTTGTAGGGGGGGTATCTGAAGGCAGAGGACCCCCCCTGCAGCCTTCAGAGAGCAGAGCCTTGACTAGCTCCAGTAAATACTAATGCACCCCAGGCTGGTTTAATTTGAGTGGTGCTATTAGTTTGGGAGGAAAGAGGGTGATTTTAAATCAAGGTCTTTAATTTTGCATTCCCTGGAAGGGCCAAAAAAATCCCTAATTCCATTGAAAGGGAAATGTCTGTGGAGCGGGGCCGCGTAACTCTGAACTTCTCAACATGGGACTGTGTTTGCTTCTCAGGTACCTTGTCTGAGGAAGACTGGAAGCCACCTCTCCCTGCTTACGACTTCCTCCAGATGATGGAGACCTCCATGCCCGAGCTCCCCCTCCACACCTCCCACCGCCACGGGGACACGCCGGCACAGCACCCACCCGAAAACCCAGGAGGGGCCACCACTCTCCAGGAGGAGCCACCCCAGGAGACCAAGGCAGAAAAAGTTGGGTCCCCTGGGAGGGACCTGCGGGGGACAGCCCCCAGGCTGGCAGCAAGGGAGAAGCAGGTCAAGAGACACAGCGAGCTCTGAGAGCTGGGCATCCCCCTCCCCGGGGGCAGTGAAATATGTGGGACCCTGCCCAGAAAACCTTAATCATGTTCCCACCCCTCCATGAGCCTTTACACTGAAGAGAGGAGTGCTTCCAGCTGTGAATTAACGGCGAAGGGCTAAAACAGCCCCTAAGTCTCAGTGTGAGTTCCCTGCTGCGGTGTGCTGGTCGTTCTGCTGGTAGCTGTGGCTTCCAATGCCAGAAATAAGTCCAGCCACCCCTCACCTTGGCCCCCCTGGCTGCTGTTGGGATTACATTTCACAGCAAGCGGCGAGAGCAGATCGGCAGGGAGGGTGCTGCGAGGGAGCTCAGCCCACCCGGTAACTGGGGGGGGGGAACGGGGGGAGCTCGCCTGCAAAAGTCAAATCAGTACAGCCCTGCTCTGTAGTTTCTGTATGTCTCACATAGGTGCTTTTGTTGCCCCCGAGCAGGAAAAAGCGAGTGATTCCAGGATAAAAAGCACATTTCTCTCTCTCCTTCTGGTTGCAGCAGCGGCTCTGCTGATCTGTGTTGGCAAGCCCTGCTCTCAAAAAGCGATTCTATCTGCACCGTAACCGTGTGGAGCTGGGAGAGCAAGCGAGCCACCCACTCCAGGGCTGCTTAACCCGGCACCCGCTTGTGTTTACACCTGCCTTGTGAACCCGCTTTGTGAACGCGTTCATCCTCGGGGGAAAGAGGAGTATCTGGCTAAAGCAGTTGTATTACGAAGGCCAGAGCTCAGGTCATCGCGCCAGCAATGAATAAATAGCTGGGACAAAAATTTGCCAGCAAATCCCAAGGGCAGGCAGGTTGGAAGATGGCTTTGCTCAACGCTGGCATTTTCTTGGTTACAAGCCCAGGGGGTTATTTGCGGCCTCAGTTTTTCTTTGCTCGCAGCGACAGCAGCGAGGTTGGTGCCTCCTGAGCTGGGGACGGTGGCGGGGAGTCTGGAAACGAGGTGGTGGGAGTTGAAGGATGAGGCTGGGGACACGCAGGACCTGGGGAAGTGGATTTCCAGCCTCTGCCCGTCTCCTGGGGACGGCAAAAGGTCTGTCACTGCTCGCTGGAGGACCTGAGCCCGCGGGCCAGCGTGGGATGCGGGCTGGGCAGAGCTGTGTGTTTGGAGAGAAGCTTTGTCTAATCCCACCCGTGCCATGATGATCTTCCCACCTCCTCCAATAAACCTCTGCTCCTTTCCACAGCACTGCTGAGATGTGAGGGCCGGATTCTCCTCCTCCTCCTTATGGCTCTGAAGTTACTGGGAAGGGGGGAAAAATTGATGGTAAGGAACTGCTGGGAGCATTGTAGAGTCTGTATTTCTCATCCTGCAAGCGGCCCACATGGGTGGGAGTATTTTGGAATGCCCAGAAATAGACCATTAGTCCTGGGCTCTCCTTGAAGTCCTTGATTGAGACAGACCATTTTTGGACTAAACGACAGGCTTAGAGCCAAAAGGTATGTCTTTAAAATAAGCTGTAGCGTGCAGATCGGAGCCTGCCGTGCAGCTGACTATTCCCAAGGGAAGGAGTAGGTCAGGGCACCAACAGCTCCTCCGTGAGTTCCCGTCGTTTCTGGGCTCTGTTAGGTCGTTACGCCACTGTACGTCGGTCGTCTCCCATCCTGTCCCTCGTGACCCCCCTGCTGCTGTTACAGCATCGCTCTCCCACTTGGCGCAGGTGAAGCGCGATATCCGGGCCTCTCGTCGACGTCTTAAATAAATCCTATCTCAAGTACAGTGAGCACGCATCTCTCTTGGGCGCAGGGTGGTGAGTGGAGGGGCCGGTGTCCTGGGCTGGGGTGGCAGGGGTGGCTGCATCCCAGCCCGCCGAGCCCTGGGCCAGAAGGATCCCTCCTCCCTTCAGCGGGGTTTGGGCGAGATGAGGAGCGTTCCCTCATCCCCGCTCTTCTTGGGCCCCTGAGCCCTTTTCCAGTCGCAGGCCTCGCGCTGCATCGGGGCGGGAGCTTGTCACTAGGGGTCAGTGCCACCTCTAGGTTATGGCTACGAAAATTACGGCTTCCCCCAAGAGCTGCTTGATTGGTGCCGGAGCATTGCCACCGAAGCGACTGGGGGTCGGGAGCGGCTGGCCGGCGGGCTCCGGTGGGGATGCTGGGGGCCAAGGGGCTGTTTGCTCCTGGGGATGGTGGCTATAACAAGCCCGGAGGGATGGGGGGGGTCCCCGCTCTACAGGCTTCAGCCCCCCGCATCCACAGTGGGATCCATCAGCCTGAGCATCCCAGCTGGGTTTAGGGGTGCCAGGAGCCCCAGGTTGGGCCCAGCCAGCGTGTCCCTGCAGCTGCCAGTGCGGGCGCCTGCGGTGACACAGGGAAGGGACGTGCTTGTCCATGTCCCACCGCTGCTGGCATCAGACTGGGGCCACAGCTGTGTTTGCTGGAGCTGCCGACTGTGAGCTGGGGTGCAGGTCAGGGTCCTGCACCACATCAGGGTGCACGGGCCCGGCTTTGAGTTTGTTGTTTGTTGTTTTTTTTTTTTTTTTTTTTTAATACAAAATGTCTTTTTCATTGCATGGCACGAGCAGGCACTTAGGGAAATCTATCGAGGCATAGATGTGCCAGGGTATGTATGGGCAGGGAGAAAATATCAGGGATGCTGGGAACAGTTTGCTTGTGATCTGCATCCCACAGCACACCCCTGGATTATGCCGGTGAGGCGCACGCTGAGCTGCAGAACTGATGGGTTTCCTGGCAGATACAGTACTGACTATTTAAGGCATCAGTCCAAACTTTTCTTTTGATGGTACTTTATTTCAGCGCTACACCAAAGGTGGACATTTGCATGTGCTTCTTGCTTGTTGGGAGCCTTTCAGGGGGTGTTTATATGTCAGCGGTTGATCAGAAGATAAAATGATGATACACACACACCAAAAAAAAAAAAAAAAAAAACCAAAACAAAACAAACCAATTATGTGTTTGCCTTGGGGAGCAAAACAATTTAAATTATTGTCCGAAACAATAGGAAATTCTCCAAGCGCTGTGGCCTGACGGGTCTTTCGCCGTCCTCCATGAGTCCTGCAGAGCCATCACCATCAGTTAGGAGGGAGGAAGGCTTCCAGCAGCAGTGCGAGGGAAGGTTAAGGGTGCGCGCTGTGTTTTCCGCATTTAAAAGAGCTTGCAGAGGAAGGGCCACGGAGGTGCCCGCTGCGTGGCTGGGCCAAGGGGTGGCCAATTGAACAGCATGAAATCCCCGGGGGACGCGGCTGCGGGACGGGGGTTCCCATGTCACCCTCGGGCGTTTGGTGCCAGCTGGCTCCCGCCGACGTCTCTGCCGGGCGCTCTCCAAACCAAGGGACATCGGGAAGCCATCGCGGCGGTTCTCCCGGCTTTCTCGCCCTTTGAGCAAAACGAGGACGGCGAAAGACGTGGCCTCGCGGCGGGAAGGGAATTTTCCAAATCAGCTCTTCCTCAGCCCATCCTGCACCGCTGGTGGCCACAATCCCTCCTGGTTTAAGCCTTGCCCTGCGGCCAGGCTCCCGTCCGGCTCTGCCGTGGGGATACAGCGGCAGAACAGCAGAAAAGAAGGTTGTAGCGGGGAGGAGGAGGGAGAGGACGTTGTCCCCAGGAAGGAGATGCTGCACGGCAGGAGCGGGGCCACGGGAAGGACACATCTGCCTGTGCCAGCGATTCCTGGCAGCGCTGCCAGGATGTGAAGCAGGACAGAGACCTGGTGGGCTGGCTCGTGTCTCTTGGCCCAGCCGTGCCTGGTGTTGCGTGGGGCCAGGAGGGTCTGGTGGGGCTGGGGGGTGGAGGGGACCGGTCACTCCATCCTGTCCGGTGGTTCAGCCTGGCAGAGATGCTTTCCCTGCCGCGAGCTGGCAGGGCAGGTTGCTCTCCAGCACGGCTTGGCTGTGATCCCTGCCGTGGGGCGCCCTCCCCTGCCGTGGGGCACCCTCCCCTGCCGTGGGGCACCCCCCCCTGCCGTGGGGCACCCTCCCCTGCCGTGGGGCACCCTCCCCTGTTGTGGGACCCTGCCAGCACTGCCAGACCCGTGGCCAGGGCTGTTTGCCCAGAGTTGCTGGGTGAGGCTGGTCTCCCGCCGAGGCTTTCTCAAATCACCTTGGGCAGGCGGAGAGCCAGACCCTCAGCCCACCCTTGGGGGCACCCAGTTTTACAGGGGTGATGTGAACCATCTTGGTACCGTGGGGCTGTGATCCCTGCGCCCTTGGCATTGCCCGTGGAGGTAGGAGAAGGGTCCCGTGGCTCGGCAGCCCCAGGGGTGTTCAGTGATGGCCAGTGGGTCCCCCTGCCCAGATCCAAACCAGCTCCCCAAGCCCACGCGATGTCCTTGCTGCCTGCTGATTTGGGGCAGGGCTGGTGACTGAAGTGCGGTGATGGGGAGCAACCTGGGAGGAATCTGGAGACAGACAGGCAGACAGACAGACAGACAGACAGACGTTGGTCCGGGGGTGGGACAGGAAGCAGCCAGTGCTGTGTTGGCGTGGCTGGAGGTGGCAGAGGAGCTGTTCTGGGGAAGAGAGGGTGCGGGGGCAGGATGGAGCTGTGATGTGAGATAAGGGACGGTGCCTGGGCAGGATGGGTTTCCTCGTTACGTAGGGTGGCTTTTCCGCCTGGTGCTTCCACTGCTAAAATTACAGCCGTGCTCCTGGTGCAGGCCTGGTGCAGGTACCCGCAGCACCCAACCCCACGCTGCCCGTGGTAGCTTGCAGGGTGGCCGTGATGGGGGTCTTCATCCCTTCTGCCCCGTGCTCAGTGTGGGCAGGGGTGGGGTCTCAAGGGCAACACTGGCTCCATCCTCCTGGAGCCAGGGAATGGGATGGAGCTGGGATGAGAAGCCCGAACCAGCTCATCATGGAACATCTTCTCTCTGTATTTTCCCTTCCCAACAGAGACATCTCATTCTGAGACTACACCCACAGCTACGATGTCCTGCTCTGTCCCCAGGCTGGGTGATGTGGGTGTCCACACAGGGACCTCGCTGCTCATACCGTTGGCCGATCAGGGTGACTCTCAAACCCAGGGGGTGAAGTCAAATACCAAGCTGGAAGAGCAACCACCATAACGGACCATCCCACGGCAATCCCTTCCCAGTGTCTTTCCCCACCCCACGGAAAGCGAGAGCCCCCGGGGTTCCGTGGGGCTGGGAAGGGAGCGGAGGTGGCACATCCCCCAGCGCCACGTCGCTGGCTCCATTGTTCATTGTTCCCTCTTGGCTTGGTGGAGCCGGTGTGGGGACGGGAAGCGATAAGAGGGGAGAGGGCACCGCTCCGGTTCCTGCTCTCTGACAGGTTATTTCCCCACTCATCTGACCTCTCCTTAGGTAAACTCAGTGCTTCGCCTCCCTTGGAGTTTGCTTTGCTCTCCTGCACTCGTCCAGCATGGCACGGGGCCCAGGGTAAACAGCACAGCTCTATTAATAGCCCGTGGGGTTGCCAAATCCTTTCTGTATGTTGAAAGAGTGGTGGTGCTTGCAATACCATGATTCAGCCCTCAGTGGTAACACATGGGCCAGTTCCCCAGTGGGGCCATGCTGGGCAGGCTCCCAGCTTCGCTCCAGCCCTGGAAGGTGATGCTCAGCTCTCCGGTGAGGTGGGGAGGTGGGCAAGGGCCTTTGCTCCATCGGCCGGGGATTTCTTGGCTTGCTTGCAACACAAATAGTCATATCACTAAACTTGGTGGTGTTCCTCTCCGTTGGCAGATGCCCAAGCTCACGGGCTGGACTCATTCTTGCACATGGACCTGGAAAGAGCAAAAACCAGGACCCCTGGAAAAAGCCATGGACCTCTTGCTGCGGCTCCTTGTACCCAGGGCTGAAGTGGGCTCTTGGGGATGAAAGCCACGGTGTCCCTGGCCCAGCCTTGCTCCACGTGCAGTCCTGCCTGGAGGAGAGTGGACAGCAGAGCCTCTTGGTGCAGTGCATGGAGCATCTTCTCAGAACCCCTTTTGAGTTTGAAGTCTTGGAGTCCTCTCCCACGGCTGGGCTTGTGAGTGGCCCATGTTGGGGAGCGGGAGCTTTGGAGGGCTGGGTTGCCTTGGGGAGATGCTCTGAGAGACTCTCCGTAGACCCTGGACCTGCTGTGAGGAGGTGGGTGGGAGAAGTAGCCCATGGGGAAACATGGGATCCTGGACATCGAGTGAAGGATGCTATGGCTGGCAGAGTTCTGCTTTCACGGCAGTGAGCAGACGAGGGAGCCCCAACTGTGACCGGAGCCAGGCACTAACATGAAAGCAAATATTTGGAAAGGCAGTTACTGCCCAAAAATAACTTCAAATGCTTTCAGGAGCAAAGCTGGAACAGTGTCCATGGGAAGTGGCCAAACACTCCCCTGGCCCAGGGCAGCTCCCAGCATGGGGGACAGAGATAGGCAGGGACATGGCCGGTGCCTGGCCATTTATTACCCTTCCTGTGGCAGTGTAGGGGTTCTATGGGGCTTTTTTTGCCTGAGATTTTTGGAGACACCCCATCCCCCTAGAACTGGCAGCTGAGGAGATAAAAAGGAGCCTCTCCTCCCTTATCAGTACATGGATGCTGAAATGGGGGTACCAGCATCCAGTCTCCTCATTCATTCCCAGGAATCAGCACCTTTAGGTTCAAACTCAACCCCTCTGCTTAACTACAGCCAGGAGAGACTACCTGAGAGCCTAAAAGGATTAGCACCAACCAGAGAGCTTTAGGCAGGGGTCCTTGTCCCCACGGACCTGCCCAAGCCCGAGGGCAGCAGGGCTGGAGCCAAGGAAATAACTCAGCCTCATTGCAGGG